GAATGCACCAGGGTTAACCCGCATTAAGGGAGCCGCCTTTCTCAAAGATCCTTGCTTCTTTTAAATTGTCGGCCATCTTATCCTAAGTGCCCTCCTCTGCCGCTCCGTCTGCCTCTTTGTGTCGATGTGACTCTTTTGTGTGCTTCATCCTCTCGAGCAGATGCACAGCACATCTCCTCTTCACATCTCAAACTTCCTCCGCCCGTCTGTCTCCCCGTTTCTGTCATTGGCATCTGACTCGGTGGCGTGGTTCTTCTTCACAAACGCAGCAAAATGTGGCTTTCCTCCTCTTCCCGTCCCGCTGTTTCATCATGTTTGACACATGTCATGAACTAAATCAACAATAAATCAGCCCTGCTGATATTTCCTGTGTAGCCAGGCGTGATACATCTCTGGTGTTGTTAACTCTAAAGTTAGAAATAGGCTGCCTGCACTCTTGGTTTTCATACAACAGATACTTTTCCAATGTAAGCTCTTGTTTAGATTCCACATAAGTATACATGTTGAGTACAAACCTTTGGGTTTAAATACACGTACGGGGAAGCGGAATTAAAAAGTAATGATCAGTTTTGTTTGTTCACAATAAGGAACATAGAATAACAAAGTTCTCCATGTAGCCTCTGCAGAGTATAAATGGGTATATTTATACAAGAATAACCCATGGATGATGTAACATTACAATATGTCTCTAGTCACAGTTGCAGTGCGCGACTTCATACGATAAAGACACGAGTCGTCTTCTTCTGGTAGCAGCAGACCAAACTGTAGCTCATAGTTGTGCAAATGTAAAAACTCTCTCTCTCTCTCTCTCTCTCTCATTAGCATGCACTTGTCCTCCAGTGTTTTCTCTCCCCGGTTTGTCAAGCGCTGATCTTTCCTTCGGAGGCCGAGTGATAAAGGCCCCGCAGAGTAAACAAGCTGTGGAGAATGGCCTCTTGTCTTTTTATTATAGCCTCCTAATGCAGCACTCATTCCTGCCGTGATGGACTGCGGTTGGAACTGGGGGGGGGGCATATATATATATACACAAATACCCACTGAAGTGGATTCTCTCACTTTCTTCTGATCACAACAACGGTGTTTTAACGTCAAGCTGCAGAGATAATCCGTGAATGGATTAGCTGTAACATCTGCAGTGTTTTTATGCAATTGTATTTCCATTGTTCACTGAAAATTGCTCATCATGTCAGGTATTGTATTGCTGGATAAGCCCCCTCCCCTCTCTCTGGTCTCCAGACTGAAAGGAGGAGTGGAGTGGAGGGGGGGTTGGAGGGAAAAGGGTGGTGAAGGTCACTTTGATGTGACTATAAAGACACACAGCAGGCCGGTGGAAGGAGATGAAAGAGACGGAGCAGAGGTAAAATAGATCCTGGTGGAACGGCCGAGGAGGAGCGTTCTCTCTGCTCCCCTGCAACACACGGAGGATAATGATGCTGTATCATAAACAAGAGGCGGCCGGGGGGAATAGAGCCGGCGTCTTGCAATTAAAGTGAGCAAACAACATTTATTTGAACCGAGCTGACAGCAGCATGCACGCCGTGTAATGTGAAACGAGCAGAGCTCATATCTGAATCAGAAACGGCAACTTACAAAGCAGGTTAATACATTCATCAAAATAGGGCATTTGGCACATCATCCTCTGTGACTTATTTACTGAATGATGAACGCATTCCGCCTGATTTTAAGTGCACTCCGGATTATGCCATGAAGCAAATTAGATGCGTAGATGGCTGTCAAGTGCACGTTGATGTTAATAATCGTTTTAATGTATGCATAATCTAACATCAAGTTTGATCATATTTACACCATGTTCCTAAAGATTGCCTGGAGTCTGGTCTTCTTCAACGCTTTGGCTTGATGCAGTTGCCTGCCCCCATTAGGCTCAGCTGTGTACTGCAAATGAATCAGTACTCGGCTTTGAGGTTTCCTCTCTGTGTCTGCCGTGCGTGCTGTTCCTAACTGCAGCTGAATCCCATGATTGAGCTGTTTCTGGTATTGAAGGTAGCACATACAGAAGGGAGGAAAGGGAGGAAAGGGAGGAGGAGTGAGGGTGAGACAGCAGCCAGACACCAGATGTTTCCATACAATCCAGCAGAAGCAAGATTAGTGTATGCCTTACGGTGGCTTGAAGTGTGTGTGTGTGTGTGTGTGTGTGTGTAATTATTACCCTGGCTAGGGCATGCCCATAGCCTGGGTGGCCCATCAGGAATTTGACGGTGGCAGTAAGTCTAGAAATAGCACAAGATGTGAGCGCTTCGGGCCCTCCTGGTGAGAGCAGGCACATTCTTCCTCGCTGGAGGAATCGGTGTATTTGTAAAAATATCACAAGGCGGACGAGGGAGCGCGCACCTCGTTGTGCTTACGAGATAAAGATCAGATCAAACTTTAATGATCCCAAGGGGAAATTGGGTCACTGCGGCAGCAAAGGAAAGTGTGAAGATAAAAAAAGAAATGCAACAAACAGAACAGTTTGAAGATTAAAGATGCAGCATTTTAACACGGGGCTCCTATAGGCTTTGAAAGAGATCTGCCTCTAACCTGTGTGTGTGTGTGTGTGTGTGTGTGTGTGTGTGTGTGTGTGTGTAACAGTCCATGTCCTTAAAAATGGATGGAAAGCTGTGATATTTGCTAGCTGAGCTGTCACAGTGAATACCAAAGGGGATCACAAAACTCCTTCCTTGACCCTTGATGTGCTCTCAATGCCCTCATGCCCTCCCCCCCACACACACACACACACACACACACACACTCGAGATGGTGAAAGGGTCAAGTCGAGGCTATCTCTAGCTCATCTCCCCCACCATTAGATCTAAAACCGTGTCCGTCGGTGATGAAGAGAGGAAAGCCGAAGGCCTCTCCAAGAGACGACTAGACATTCGCACAGTTTCCTCCTCGAACCTGCAGCCGGCTGACTGGAGAAACGGGAGAGGCGGGGGGGAGGAGAGGTGGTGAGAGAGTGAAAGAGGTCGAGAGATGTGTGAGACAGAGACTGGGGGAGAGAAAGAGAAAGAGAGGGAGAGTTATCAGTCATGCTGTCAGTCTCCGGGGCAGGTTGTGATAAGAGAGGCAGTATGGCAGCGGTTGCTATCTATCGCTCCCTCTCTGTCGCTCTCTCTCTCTCTCACACACACACACACACACACACACACGCACAAAACGGGGGAGAAAGACCCTGTTGTGTTCCCCTCCACCACCCACGGGTGAATGCAGCCCAGGTGTGCTGGACTGTATGGCAGTCATTTGTCGACTGTATTTTCAGGGCAGGGGGAGACGACAGAGGGAATACTATGATAAATGTCTATACTGCTCCTCTTTATTTATACAAAGAGAAGAAGAACTGGGGAGTGAATGTGTTCCACTCTCATACTGCAGGTAAGTAAAGAAAAAATGGTATCACCCAATTGGATTTATGAAGGCGACAGTGTTCCCTCGTGGGATCAACACAACATTTCCTCTCTCTCTTTCTCTGGTTCTCCAGTGGACTGTTGCCCTCCATTAGCCATGCGTTGACCCAATATTACTGGGGGAGTTGAGGGCCGACGGTGCAGGCAGAGATGTTGACAAATGGGGGAGAGGAGTATCAAATGACCCCTGGGGACTGGGAGAGAGGGACAGAGCAGAGTAAGAAGTGACCCAGTGTTGCTTGAAGGTCTCATAGTGGCTGTATTCTCTCTCTCTTTATCTCTCTTTATCTCGCTCTGTCTCATGTGAAAGGGTCATCGCGGAGGGGGGGGGGGTTAAGTGAAGATCGCCCTACGCTCATCAAAAAGAGTTTAATCAATGCCCACTCATCGATACACACATACAGCCAAAACAACACAAAGTAGCACTTGGCAAACTGGTATACACCAGTGCCGAACCCCCCCCCCCCCCCCCCCCCCGCTCCCCCAGAGGCTCAGATTAGCCAATCACAGTGACGTCTGACAGCCGCCGCACCCTCGGGCGAGAGGTGGGCTTAAAGAAAAGACTGACAGGCCGCAAGAAAGCTGCAAGTTGATGGCATCTAGTCAACCTGTGGGGGTGCAGAGCAGCAGGGGATGACAGTTGACGGAAGTGACAGGCAGACGGCAGCCTGTCACACAACCTTCTGTCAAGGGCATTGGGGGTTCTTTTCTTGACTTTGTTTGCGGCTCACGGCTGTCATGGGAGAACAAGATGACGGAGACTCTGAAAGCGTATTATTTTCTGATCACCGTTAAGTTAAAAAAGTCGGTATAAGAGGTAAAAAGTTCATGCAGCAAGGTGCGCCGTGTGTTACATTGCCCCCTAAAGTTTCCTGTGTGCCCTGACCTGCAGGAATGCGCCTAGCCGCTCCAAATAAAGATGCCAGCGAGGCTGCATACTGTACCTCGCTGCACAGCCAGGCCTCAGCCAGGCCCTTACATTACACGGTAACACAAGCCAGAGGCAGGGCACATGGGCTGGACGCCGGAGAGGCCCTTCTCAGCAGATTATTTTGGGCTCACTAGCTGTGTCATTATACGGCCTCCCGCTCTGTATTTAGGCCTGCTGATTGCAGGGCAGAGATTGGGGCAGGGCTGAGGCGGTGGTCTCCCTCCGTTGAGTTGAGGGCTCTGACATTGGCTGCAGGGCGTTTGATGTGTTTAGTGGTGAAAGGTGGCCTTGTGCCATGTTTGCTGCGCTGCCACCCCTTACCCCAGTGAGACACTCCTCCCTGCCTCTCTCTCCCTTTCTCTCTCAGTCGTCGGTTTTTCCTCTCCCTCCTCTCCCCCCTCTGTGTTCCTTTTGAAGGCAGCCTCAGGAGAAGCTCTGCATCCTGGTTTACCATTACAATGTCTTATCTGTGGAAGAGCTCATATCTGTGGGATCTTCTGAAAGAGAGAGGGGGGCACGTGCCCCCACCCCTACACCTCCTTCTCCCACCCTCTCTCTCTCTCTCACTCTCCCTCCCAATGATCAGCGACCTACGGGAGGGGGCGGAGCCGAGGCGCCGTGACTGTAACGCGATAGCTGCTCGGCTCAAAAGCGCGATCACTCCAGCACACACACACACACACTCACTACGCACGCCTCCCAGACGTGTCCACAGGACACACGCCGGTCCGGTGTCAGGCTATACGGAGCTGCTACCAGAAAGAAGCAAGACACACAGGAGAGACGAGCGGTGCCGCAGGAGGGTGCACGGTATCTTTGTTTTTTGGAGAGCAAAAGCGCAACACCTTTTTCTTATGTCTTATTCTGTGAGCATTACAAAAAACAGCTACTGACATTCTGACTCATGCTTCCTTGAGAGCTGCGACTGTGGACTTGCTATACTACCAAGCCTCTACAGGAGGACCGACCCTCGTGTGCGCAAAATACGCGGGGACGCATAGAGGGTTGATACGGGGGACTGAGAGGCTCTCAGTCGGAACTTGACGCACCCTGGAGCCGCTGTCTCTGGAGCGCAGCTATCGCCCGAAGCCTCCCAGCTGCGGAGCGCACGCCGTATTGATCAAGGAGTTTGTTTGTCTGTTCACTATATTTTTGGATGAGGTTGAGTGGCATCGCTCCACTAAATGGACAGACTTAAAAGGCAAATATAATTCCATCAATGACATGTAGTTGGCACACAATTTCCTCCATCAATGGTTTGATAAACGCCGTGGGATTATTCCTGAAGTGGTCTCGATTTGAGTGCTGCCAGCGGTTTCTGGTCCTATAGGGGTGTGGATTTTTTTTTTGGAGGAACAGCAGCATTTATATTGTTCGAGGTGGAAACGTTATAAACTTAAAGCTCGCCGCGAGTTTCTGCATCATCCAAGATGGATTTTGAGTCATCGCTGATTGGATTTTTAATTGCAATGTGTCATCTGGCATTGAGAGTCAGAGGCGAAGATGGTGAGTTTTGGTCACTTCTTTCATTTTGACGCACGCGTGGTCTGTCTCCACCAAAACACGCCAAAAGGAAAACAAATAACATTGCAAATCACAGTCTAAACATTTGGTTTAATCTGCTGGATTTATACGTATCTATGTATTTTTCAGGAGATCCCTATCATGTATTTCACATTATTTCAATAATAGCCTGCATGGTAAAGGCATTGTGCACCAATAACCCGTAAATATGGGGGTAAGGATATATATATATATATTTAGTGTGTGTGAACCACAACCAAGATGACTTTTTAAATTAAAGTCTGACTAATTCAGCCCCGTGCCAGGCCAGCTGTTACACGTTTAAAACTAAAGAACATGAAATATTTAGAGGATCGGAAACAGTTATCTGTCCCAGCTCGTAGGGGAGCTGCTCACTGGACTGTGAATGAGCTGATTATATGCATATATCTCATTGTTTACCCCGAGTTTTCCCCTTGTTTTTCTGCGATTTAATTATTCATCAAGGGAAATAAACAAACCCGTGCCTGATTAAAGTGATTTCTCACATCCGGATGAGAACAGGTTTTTAGGCGTAGGCTTCACTATCACCTGCTGCTTTGTGAATTCGCCGGTGTCCAAGAAACCGTGCGTAAAAGCTACACTGTCATCGTCGGATTCCACTAATAAGACTGTAATCATCACCATTACAATCATTATCTTCATCAGCCACCACAAGTCCCCCTCCTTCATTATCTCGTCTTGCTCCTTAGGGTTGTCTGTGCAGGGTGAAGTCAGGGTTGCGGGGGCTGAGCGCCCGGCAGCTCCAGGCGGCGGGCGCACCGTCACCTCCTCCGTGCGCTCTCAGCAATCAAATAACTATAAGCAGGGAGATTATAGTGCAGGGTGAGCCGCCCTGCAGCTGGTGGGGATTCAGCGCCTTGCTTTAAGGCACTTAAACAGGGCTAATTCTTCCCGTAACGCGCGGAAGCGGCACTGAGAGAGAGCGACGCTCAAGTCTGAAACAGCGCCAAATGTATTTAGAAGCCTCATTAAATGTGGATTTAACACCAGGGAGCACAGTAGTCCAACTGGTGTCAGGATCCCATAATCGCAATAATGACTTTTTTGCTTCATTATGTCACCAGAAATGTGCGGGATGGTGGTGGGGAACGGTTGTACGTCGGGGGCCACCACACAGAGAAGTGACGCCACCGGTGGGGATGACACATGGCCTTTAGCTCACGCGCTTAGCTGCTGTAGCGCTCTTGTTGCTTTTACTGCGGTTTTACTGCGGTTTTACTCTCTGTGTCACAGTTTATATTTATATAATATGGATGCGCGTTTACATGTGGCTGGAGTGTTCCTCTCCACCAGGAGTATAGGCGGGGTGACGAGCTGTTCCTGATCCCATCATGACTGTTGAGTCTTTGCAACACCACCCACTGGAAGCCGAGCTCTGTTCCCTTCACATGGGCTCTTCCTCTTGTTTAGGCTACTTGTTGTAAATAGGACAGTCAGCCCAGCCGTCCCTCTCAATGTCGGTGCGTGTTTGTGTTTCATGGCTGCCTGTGCACCCCTTGATCAGAGACAGATGTGGGCCTCTTGGCAGCCATCAGGCAAGCAAGAAGCTAGTCCCCCTCCCTCCCTCCCACCCTCAACTCCCTCTCTCTCTCTCTCTCCCTCTCTCTCTCTTTCCCCTGCCAAGACACTGCACCACATGTCCCTGCCTCTATGCTCCCCTCAAGAGCCACATTACACACAGATGCCAGAGGAAAGAGAGACTGAAGGGGAACAGAACGGAGACAGAACTCGGAGGTTCTGAGAGGAGGAGGGTGCAGCCGAGAGAGAGAGAGATGTGAGGGGACAGAGAGACAGTGATTGCAGAGAAGAATGGAAGCGAAGCTAAGGCACAGAGAATCCACCGGGTCCTAATGTGAAGAAACAGAAGGGAACAAGGAGGAGGAGGACTTTGGGGGAGGTGGGTTGTGCATCAGAGGAAAAGGGCGACATCAAAGCGTGCAGGGGTCACACAGTTAAAAGGGCACTGGATTTAGAGGGAACACATCGGTTCATGAAGCGACACTTGTCTGGTGTGACACAGCTTAAGTGTGGTTAGAATCTACCATTGAGAAAAACAGACTGTTACAAAATGGAATTCAAGCACATTGGCATGACAATAAAGGTTTCTGCTTTTGATGATCGACTCCATCTGGTTTGAGATGGAGTAGAGAGTAGCAAAAACTTCCCCTTAAAAAATACAATGTGGTGGAACAAAAATGATGCACGCCCGAGGTGTAAACCTTACACAGTCTGAAAAGCTTGATGACCCATGAGAGATGTTTGGTGCTTGGACATTTCCAGCTGTGGCCTGCTGTTCCCTGCTGGTGGCGTCCTCATGTGGCACGAAAAAAAGCTCCCTTTTTTTGCTGCACTCTTTATATCCGCAGCAGAAGGACTTCCGATCCACTTGTACTGTAATCACAATAGTTTGACTCAGTGACACGTGCATCAATTACTCCCGACCACAAGCATTAATATTCAGGTCATTAAGCATCTCATTTGCGTGTTTATTGAGTGGGCTGCTGTGCATCCTCTCCACCTATGGTATCGACTTCCTCCAGAGTTGGATTTCTATTCATTTAATCATTTCTTTTCCAAATGTTAGGTCCTGGCTGAATGGACTTTGTCGTTTTTGATCTTCTCTGTTGGTCTTTCTTTAAACGGTTCTCTATTTGTTTTGCGCCTTCGGCCTTTCCCCCCCCCCCCCCCCCCCCCCCCCCCCCCCCCTCTCCTCTGCAACCACGCCATTCAATTCTTTGCATTTCTCTGTGTTTTAATCTGGCCCAGTCTCAGAGGTATCAGCTGCGAAAACAAGGTCACCTATTAGCATTCATAGCCGAAGACCGACCGAGCGGCCCGTTCAATACCAGTCAGGTATAGTCGCAGGCTCACGCTAAGCTCTGGAGCAGCCCGCCGAACTTGGGGTGAAATTAAAAACAAGACCCCCATAAATAAAACAGAGCCGGGTCTTTCACTATGGCGCATTAGCCGCAGAGGGGAGGGGGGGTCTTAACGGGTGCTCAGGGACGGGTTTACATGGGAGCTGGAGGAGAGGCAAAGTCAAGAGGCAAAGTGTTTTAAATTCACTGTAAGTCACGAGTGGGGGTTAAAGAGGAGAGGGTAACACGAGGAAAGAGTTAAGAGTGTGAATTAAAAGGAACCGCTTTTGTGGGAACTGCAATTCTCCCCAGAAATGCTTTCTCTAAGCAGTCAGTTCCACTGAAAGGTAACATTCTGTAAGGTGGTGTGTGTGTGTGGGGGGCAACAAATCACCAAGACTCTTGCAGCAGAGCTCAATTCTTCACAGCTCCCCCCTCGCTGATGTCGGCTCAGCCGTTTCCACTCTTTAGGCAGGGAAACCTTCTGTGAGACGCGCTTCGGCTGTGCAGGTTCGAGACAAAAGAGCTCGCCGAGGGAGAAGAGGGACATGATACTGTAGTCAGTCAGTCAGTCAGTCAGGTAGCGTTTAGGATTAGGCCCACACCACTACACCCCCCCTGCACCAGCAACCATCTGTTCACGCGATTGATCCATTGGACCATTGATCACCACGGCCAGCGCTGTGCATTTAGCTGATTAGCACGGGGGCACTTATCCTGTTAGGGAGGGAGGAGGAGAAAGAGAGAAAGGAAAGGAGACAGAGAGGGAGGGAAGGAGGATTTGGGGATATTTACCAGCCTTTCATGTAGCTTTAAACACATTTAACACTGTTAAACAAAAAGCTTTTGTCTGGGCTGATTGTTGTTTGGGCAATTTTCATGTGTTCTGGTAGATAACTATCTGCGGAAAATCGTCATCCCACCGGTGCATAAAGGTGTTCGAGCTCAGGGCGACAAAAGTGAATCTCTCTTCCTCGCCCTCCCTCCTCATCCTCCTCTCCCTCTGCTTGGGTCCAGTCTAGTGTGGAATGGGTGAGATTAAAAGCAGTCAGAGAGACAACCCCTGCTCTTGACTGAATGGATGAGTGCGGCCCACTCTCCCCTCTCATTCCCTCACTCTGGGCGATAGCACTTTTTAATTAAGGTGGGTGGGTGGGGGGGGGGGCACTAGGAATGATGGAGGGATTTATCAGCGCCTCTCTCCTCACACTCGCAGCTTATCCCAGAGCATGACGCCATACTTCTCCCGATAAGGCGGATAATAGAAATGAGAGCGCGGGGCGTGCACACACACACACACACACACACACACACACGAGCTAAGACATGCAGACATATGCACATTTTCCCAGATAATGAAGATAAAGGCACTCGTGGCTCGTACAAAGACGTCTTCTGGGTTTGACTTGATCTAGAGTGACTAGAAAATGTGCATGCACAGATCTCACTTAACATTCACTTCATTGACAGAATCTGCGCTGCAAACAAATGATGTGGCTGCATGTAGAGACACACACACACACACACGCACACACACATTCGTAATATTCTTTTGCATTTCAATTTCCTCCAGAATAAAACACACGTTTGCAAATACACGCTCGCTCTTACATACAGTGTGCACACACACATAGTGCCAACATTGTTCTCATGTAGCCTAATAGAAGTTAGGTCCCCGCATGGTAGAAACATATGAGGGGCTTGTGAGTGTATGTGTGTGTGTGTGTGTAGACAGATTGGCTCCTCTAGTAGAAGAGACAGTGTAATTCATGAAGCCCGCTGGCAGCTCCTGAGTGCTTCCTCTGTGTTACTCATCCAACACCACAAGTTCTGTTCTCACCAAGACATTCTGCTTAGCAGTGAAACACACACAACGCACACACACACACACACACACATGTCGTGTATACATATCCAACTAATTACCGCGGACATCCAAGCAATTAGGGAAAAATACACACATCTGTCGTCAGAAAATCTTCTCATTCATTTAGATCAGATATATTGCTGCTGCATCCCCATCATATTTTATTTTTCTTAGTAGAAGCAGCAAACAAACACCCACCAACACACGCGCACACACACACACACTCTCACACACATGTTGCTAGTGCTAGTGTGTGTGTGTGAGCTGACTGACAGAGGTTTCCCATGGGGTCAGTGTCTACAGGGAGCTGCTGGATAGCAGGCATGTCTTAATGAGGCTCGTCAGGCTCTCTGCACACACACACACACACACACACACACACACTCGCTCCCTCTCTTCACTCACTCACTGCATCCTTCTATCTCTTCCTCGCCCTCTGTATTTCTCCTTCCTCATCACCTTTTGTCGCCTCCCTCCCTTCCTCCCTCCTTCCCTCCCTCCCTCCCTCCCTCCCTTCCTCCCTCCCTTCCTCACTCTCTGCCTGTCACCCGTCCTCTCTCCTCCTCACTCTTCCCACCTAGGTCCTCGCACCCGTCCGTCGTACATCAACCCCACCCACCGCCTTCACCCTCGTCCCCGTCCGATCAATCTTCCCCCTTCTTCCTCAATCCGTCTTTTATCCATCGCCTCACTGTCTCTCCTCCCCGTTCCAATCCCTCTCTCCCTTTCATCCTCTCCTTCACCTCTTCCATTTTCCTTCCCGCTGTAATCCCCCCCCCACACCCCACACTTCAACCCTCTCGCCTCCACCTCCTCCACTTCATCCTTCCCGGAGGCCATTGAATGGGCAGCTCAGGGAAAGTGTTGAGGCTGCAGGATTCCCCCCAAACGTCTTAATCTGCCTGCTGATAGCCTCCTGCACACCGTTCCCTCCATAGGCTTCCCAACAATGACTGTTTGTCTGCACAGCCGCAGCAGATGAAGAGATGTCTGTGTGTGTGAGTGTGTGTGTGTGTGTCATTCTTTGCCATACCAGCTATCTTTTTGAAATGTTTCAGTTTGCTGTTTTCCCCACCTCTGTCGGCCCCTGTGATTGACAGGCCCTCTGTATGTATGTGTGCGTGCGTGGGAGGCCGTTTGAACACGGAGCTTTGGCTGTGTGTGTGTGTGTGTGTGTGTGTGTAAAAGCGTGGGTGTGTGTTTAAGCGCACACGCGCGTGTATCTGCGCGCATGCTCGTGGACGGCTGGAGTCGCGCTCTCGCACGAAAAATCACCGGCAGCTGTGTGCGCCTGGTGTGTGTGAGCGTGGGCATCGCTCCTCTCCAGCAACAAAGTGAGGAAGCCATCGCCGCTCTATCAAATGTCAGAGAATCTTAAGTGTGCCTTTTAAGCACAATAGGCGGTGGAAATGTCAACACTTGAAGGGTCTATTACACTTCAAGCCTTTGGTGCTGTGTGTGTTTTTTCTCCTTTCTTTCTTTTCCGCTTCCTGTATTGATGCTTTCACAGACATTTGAAAGAAACAGGCAGGAATATCAACCCATTTCTGTCAAGAATAGATGCATCTCAGCGGCTGAGTGGTTAAGCCCACCATTTGGCGGTGCATTGTTCATGACAGCATACCATAAGCTTTAGTTTCTTGCCTGATATAGCCGCTTTCCTTCCTCTGGATGTTGTTTTCCTTATTTGGCCGACGCACGCCAGCCACAATATTAAGAAAACATTTGTCGCTTTGAGTTCAATATCACAAAGTTCATTACATTTAGAGATCCCCCCCCGGCATCAGCAACCACACACACAGAGGTAGAACCACCCCCCTGCTGTTGTCATGGAGAACACGTTGCTCCTTTGCCTCCGTGGAGAATAATAATGCCTGCAAATCTATTGCAATGCAAGAGTAATAAAGGAGCCATTGTGCACAACGTCGCGCCTCTGTGTGTGTGTGTGTGTGTGTGTGTGTGTGTGCGTGCACATGCAGAATACATGTTTCTTTTGTATGTGCATGCGAGTTTATGTGTTTAGCGTGTTTATGGGAGATAACGCGGCGCACGAGAGCTGCCTTAGCTGTCAGGGCGTGAGCAGAGAATAGGGCCCTTTGTTGCCGCGCGAGCGTCTCATTACAGAGTCGGGGTGACCCCCCAGAACCCCGCTAGACAGGCCGTCTGCGTGTCACTTCCTGTCGAAGCCTGCCGAGCGATGCCATTGGCAGGCTATTGTTCCTGGGAGAGCGTGATAGGATCGGGGAATGTGTCCTAATGTTTGCAGATTGGCTTGCCGGAGCAACAATTACACTTGGTGAACGCTCCCGACGGGGGACCGAGAGAGAGATAAGAGCCTGGGTGTGGAAGAGGGTGAAAAAAGGCTCTGTGTGTTTCTCTCCATGTGTGTGTGTGTGTGTGTGTGTGTGTGAGTGCACTGCCCAACAAATGCAGCATTGATGATCTTTTATTGTTTTAATAGCTTACCCATGTGGTCCCACTCGCATTGACAATGCACAATGGAGAAGTTTTTCCAATTTCCTCCAAACTGACGGCCTAAATTGCTTTCTTTGTTTTACTGCTCATTTGTTGCTCATCACAGCTTCATGCAAAGAAACGAGATAAATCACAGAGCGTCCTCTGAGCCGCTGTCATTTACCGGGGATTTATTTGGCGTGACGCCGGCCTGCCATGCAAATGCCAGATGTAGGAATGTATGTTTAGAATAGAAATGTAGTTCACTGAATTTAACAATCATTAACTGTACCCCGCCCTTGCGTCTCTCTCACAGCGGCAGAGTGCGGAGGCGTCTTCGATGCCAGCGAGGCCGGTTACATCACCTCCCCCGGTTATCCTCTGGAGTACCCGCCTCACCAGAACTGCCACTGGATCATCACGGCGCCGGAGCCGTCGCAGCGCATCGTCCTCAACTTCAACCCACACTTTGAGATAGAGAGGCTGGACTGCAAGTAAGAACGGGGGTGGGGGTGCAAATGAGAGAATGGTGGCAGAGATGGAGTCATATCTGAAACAAATAAGTCTTCATGGTGTACAATTATTCTGGATGAATGATGATTTGTGTTGACATTTTGATTAGTATGCTGCAAAGGCATTTGCATCTCGAATAAGCAATTTCCTGTTAAAGCACCTTTTTTATTATTGTTCACTGCCGGCGGTTTGGCTTGAACCCAAGTCGTTGAAACATTTTCCACATTTTGACCACAACAGGTCAGTTGCAAAGGAAATTTTAATTGCCGGTACAAGCTTTCTGCAGAACACAGACCATTAAGTGGACTGTGGTTTTTCTTTGTTTTAGGGAGGGGGGGGGGGGGGTTGTTATTTATGGAGAGAATGGCGAGCACACAAGCTCTTTTCAGCGCCGTCACTTTTCACATTCACGCCATCGCACACATCGTGTCCTGGATGCTGCCCAGTGCAGCCGCACACTTTTGTTATTGGCCCTTTTGAAGGCTTCTTTGGAGCAACTTCTGCCTTAAATTCCTTGCTCAAGGGCACATCAGCTGCACGTTACCTCAACAGTTCAGAGGGCAGAAAAAAAAATGTTCCTCATCTCGGGCTTTCCACATCTCATTCGCACGATGGTGAATAAACAGGGAAGAAGCGAATGAAGCCCAGCTGTTTGTCTGGATATGACTGCATTGGTCAGTTTCCTTTCTCAGAGAGATGAATAATCCAAATCATGTGGTCTTCTATTGTCTTTGACCTCAGAGGAACCTCACGATCTCCGCTGTTTAATCCACGTTTATACAACAGCGTAAGGGAGAATGTTGCACAATTCACCCACTTCAAGACTTCCTCATTGTCTGCTTAAAGTGAACACAGGCCAGATGTATCAGTGCAGTCATGGCTGTTTATTCCTCCTGCCCTCCTTTCCCTCTGCAAATTGAAGAATTAATAATCCTACAAGGGTGTTTTTTTTATTTATCTATTTTGCATTGTTCGCTGACAAAGCAATTTGTCTGGCCAGGAGACCCCAAAAAAAGTTTCATGATGACATCAATGGCAGCTTTGGTGAAAAGGGGTTTTGTAGTGATTGTCGATTCCGTTCACAGAGCCGTGTCACGTCGCAGCGAGGCTGGCGAAACGTTATTTTGATGTCTCGGGCTTTGTGTCTCCGGGTTTCTGTCGCCTTTGTCGAAGGCAAAAATGTTGCATAATTATCTCCCCGGCAGTATGTTTCTCGGTAATACCGCTTTTACACCAGCGTCACAGTGTCAACACAGTCGCACACTGGACTCCGGCTCAGCTGTTGATAAGCAGTGTGTCAAGCAGTTTCTCACAGCCCAAGGCGAGCAGGGCAGTAGGAGGCCGAGGGAGGAGGAAAGAAAACTGAAATTGCCTCCTCGTTTCTCCTCTCCGCAGAAGGTTTTTTTGGGATGAGTTTTTTACTTCTTTTTACACTCGCCTGGAGGAGCTGAGGCCTTTGCCTGCCCTCTGACACACACTCCCACTCAACCTCCCTTCATCCTGTATGTATGAGTGTGAACATGTGTGTGTGAGAGGAGAGTCAGGGAGCGTGGGTGGGAAAAAAAGGCGTCTCAGAATGAGTAACTCTGCAAGCATGTAAGCGAGTATTAGTTTGTCGGACTCGCTTCCCGCTTCCCGCTTCCCGCTTCCCGCTTCCCGCTTCCCACCATCCATCTTTCCATCCAACCATCCAGCCTCCTTGTGATAGCCCCGTTTTAAAGGAGGATCAACATTTATTTATGCATAACCTCTAACACTAATGTGTTTGCCCTTCTGTGCTCAAAGAGGATGCGTTTTCCCTTTGGGGCGCACAAATAGCAGCAGAAATAAGTGGAAAAAGCAAAAGTACGGCTCGATATCCGCGCTCTCTCGGTCCTGTGCTATGCCTTTTACCCGGAATGATCCGAGCCCTGTAGCGCTTTTACAGGCAGCTTCCCTTTTTTTTTGCCTGTATGATTAGGCACGGCAGTGTGAGGGAGCAGAGAGTGGATGTCTGCATGTTTTCACGGTCCTCCGCGAGGTTGGGGCGATGGGAGCCGGAAGGGGCTGCAGAGGTGGAGGGCTCGCCATCTTGGTCAAGGCTGAAAACCGGCGTGACAGCTGGGATTACAGAGACGGCGGCAGGGAAAAACCAGAGCTGTGTGCTACCTGAAAGACGCAGAGCGATGTGGTCCGGACTGCTGATCACTCAAAGGACAAAAAAAATATATATGCACGATAACATGGTCATAGAGATGGTAAATGGACACATGTTTTCAGCGGATATGCTTAGAAACACATGCACGTACGCACTTAAGCATGCAACCTGTCAGCGTAAGAGTGCTCATGAGCCATCATACCACCCCCCTTCCCTTTGGGCACTTTAAGCCCTTATAAAACTGAGAAAAGTGCTTGGTCAGCACAGGCAAGGGGTCTGAACTCTGGCTAATATCCCTGGCCAACTGGTGATTTTCCCTCAGTGGGCTCAAACAGTCAGTACTCTGACGATGCAATGTAGCCGAACCGCGGCTCCACTGCAGCAATCAAATCCGCAGCCCTATGCAGGCGCTCCGTGTCTGAGGTGGCACTTTAATTCAGGATTTCATTTCAGGGGGAGCCCGGCCGCGTGCCAAATAGCTCTTACCTCCAGGTTGCCAGCCGATTGATGTGAACTAAATGTAATAAAGGCTAGATGAAATATCAGGCCCATATCTCTAATGCAATCTGCCATCGCCGAGCCCCAGGATGCTGCCTAGTGATATACCAGCTGAACGATTCTCCCTCCCTCTCTCCAGCCCTCTTTCTTTCGCTTCGTCTTCCTCCCGTTCTTGATCTCTTTTCCTCCCTTTTGTTCCTCCATTCTCCCCCTCACCCTCCAGCCTGAGGAGGAGGTGTTTTATTTTTACACACTCGAATTAAACATTGAAACAGAATCCCATATTATACACGCACGCGCCATAAAACTGTAGTCATTCCAGAAGATCCATTTCTTCCACCTTTGTGGTTTTTATTTTCTCACTTATTTATTTGGTTATTTGTTATTGACTGCAGCCCGAGGTGGGAAGATTTGACGATATAACTTTACAACTTTACACACACACACAGCTGTAAATCCCTCTGGACCGTGACATGCCTGTTCGCAGTGAGATGTAGCAACAACTCTCCTGTGTGCATGATATCACCCTTATTACTAATACCCAAAGGGGGCGCAAAAGTGTGGGATCAATGTCTGTATTCCGCTTGTAATGGGAAATCGATAGATGATCACCAATGGCCCGGGGCAGAGAGAGACGTGGATGAAGACGACCATGGAGGGTGATGGTTGAGGATGAAAGGAGAGACAGATGAGCTGCCGGAGGTCACGACTAAAGGGAGTTGTTCAGGTTCTGATCTGTCAATATCTGGCACTTGGCCGGCGTTTAGGACAAGATCATGGTCATCAGCGTCCAGCGGTCACGACTGTTGCAGTTGTCAGCGCAATGATGATGATATAATAAGTAAGAGGGATGATTAAATGTAAAAAAAAGAAACAGTCCTTTCAAATGCTTTCTTCAATTACATGCGTTTGATAGGCTTAGTCAAGGCGCGGTCCAAATAATGAGTCAGCCAAGTGGACTGGCAGATCTAAATTCTGTCGGGATGAATTGCAACGATCTCAATCGCATAAAACGTGTTGATAGAGGATTTAAAATGCATCCAGCAGGGGCAGCAGGGTCACGACTTCAGCTCAGACAGCAGTTATAGTCTGATGTTTCAGATCGATGCCGGTCTAGAAGGTCCGGGGCCGAGCCCAGACTGCCTGTGGTCAGCGGTTTGGCCTCAGCCTTGTGTAAGTATGACTCTGTGATGGACAGGAGAAGAGGGGGGGTGGGGGGGCATGAGGAGACGAGGAAGAGAGGAGTGCCGTTTGTTTTGGGGGCTAGATTGAAGATGGCAGGCCCCGTGGATCTGCAGGGATTTCACTCGCAGCATCTAGTTAATATTTCAGAGGCACTTATGGTTTATTAGAGTCCCGATTGAGGGCGGGAGGAGTGGGTGGTAGTGTGTGTGTGTGTGTGTGTGTGTGTGTGTGTGTATGTAAAAGCTTGTGTGTCTACTGTACACCCTCCGCCTTACTTACTTTCTGCTTCTGCATCCATCACCGAGAGGGAGACGAAAGAAGCGACAGACGTTTCTTCATTGTTTACCGGATTGGGATCTTGTGCTCCGAGAGTGGAAAACACACACACACACACACACACACATAATGGAGCAGACAGGGACATCATTTCTACTGAAGGCCTCAAGTGTGTGAGCGCAGCCAAGTTTGGTTTGCTGATGTTCGCGAGCAGCTGTTGCTCTTTTATGGGCACAAACAAAATAAATCAGACGACCGTGACGCGCCCAGCAGCCAAATGATGTGTAAATCTTTTGTGTAATTTCGACGCTCCTGCTCCTGCTGAACGCTTTGTGCGTTTGTGTCGGCGTTTCGATGACACTAAATGAAACACAAGCTAGTTCTTTTGCAGACAGAGCTCCTTTGCTGATTTCACAAAGATAAAGAGTTATAAACTAGTGTTTTAACAGCAGAGAGAGTGACCACTAGTCTAGACCCGTAAATAAACAAACGTACAGGAGTATACATACTGCAGGTTCTCTGTGGTGAGGTGCCAATGCCTGCCGGGGACGTCCCTAGTCTCCGACAAACAGCAAAGGTGCGAAAGGCAATTAGTTGTTTTGGCGGAGGGGCGGAGTGATATATGAGAGCAGAGGAAGAGAAGACATGTCTGGACTGGTGCAGAATTACTGGCCCTTAAGGGTTTTTAGTTTCCTCAACCCCTCTCCCTCTGCTCCAGCTATTCTCTATGGGCAATATGAGGGAGGTGGGGGCCGGCCATGCAGACCCAGACAGACCGCCAGACAGAAAGCAGGGAACAGAGGGTGTCAGACATAGGTGGGGTGTGGATCACGGGGTCTGCTTGTGTGCAAATAATTGATGTGTGTGTGTGTGTGTGTCATGGAATGCGTCAAAGTGTGTGTTTTCGAGAGAGGCAGACAGCGGGCTCTCACACGTCAGGCCCTCATGCATGTATTCATCAGAGCCCGGGGAGAGGCTGAGCGAACAGGTCAATAATCACATCTGAGGAACACTCACTCACTGACGCTAATCCACGACAGGAGAGAGCGAGGCAGAGAGAGGGAGACAGAGAGGGATAGAGACCCACTCCAAAATCAATTAAAACCTAATTAGGCTCTCAGCTCTTTTATCCTCGGCGTTGGCGATACGACGCTGGAGTGTGTACGCCCGCGTCTGTCCGTGCGTACATGTCTGTCTATCTGCATGCGTGCGTTTGTTGGCACATGTTTGAGTGTGTGTTTTCCCCCCAAAGCATGTGTCAGTTACAGCCCGAAGCAGGCGTACTTAGGGAGAGCGGCGGTGGCTCTTACATTCTCACCGTGGGAGCTCGCAGCTAAAGCCTTTACGATCGCCTCTGTAATGCAGGATTACAACCAAGACACGTATAAGAGAATTGGACAGCGGCTTCTGTGCTCACATAGCACAAAGTGCTCTGCAGGCCCACTTTCTTGCAGATTTGCTTCAGCCCCCGACCATCGCAGACTTTAACTGCTGGTGGGACACGGGAACTTGTCTCCTATGGCGGCACAAACACTCGGCTCGCTTTAGAGAAAGGAATGACAGCTGTCTTTGAATAATTCACATGTGCTCTTCCATGCTGGTGCACAGATATAATGTGAATTGGTGAAAGAGCACTCCGTGCAATTTAGTGTTGCACTTCCGTACAGTTGGGGGCCTCGAGAGAGAGAGAGAACAGCCATCATGTCTACAACAGAAGCAGATGGATCCAGACTTTAAGTCAAACATGATGGATCCTGCAATTCCCATAATCCAATTTAATACCACCGTTCATTGAACCCTCCATCTCTGATAACACCCTCATCACACTCGTGACTTCTAAACTAATCTTGATGTGAAAATCTTTTTCCTAAATATCTTTCTGATGCCAAATCCAAACTGCCTTTATTCAAATTGCACTTGGCTGTTGTGATCATGCTATACTTTTGTACTTTTATGAAAAAGACCACTTTCATGGGGGTGGCAATGTTGTGGTGACAGTACAGGCTCATTGCAGGATTTTTGCACTTCGATCCTCACCTGTACATGTGCCACTTTGGCCCAGATTAATGTGGCTGGGATTATCCCTCCATCAGTTTTAGCTCGAATGCTCTGTATAGGAATCTAAACACTGCAGGAATGAGATAACCCCCCAAAAAAAAGAGGCTTAGTGACTTTACTTAATCCACGTTTTATTCCGAGACGCAACACAAAAGCAGTCTTAGTGCTTAGATGCCATAAAGGAACACAGCCTAGTGCTGATTGGTAGCCCTCAGCTTTACTGACTTACTTTTCAGTTTGAAGTAGTGAGAGGAAAACAAAACAGTTTCCTGTTTAGAATATCAGCGAGATGCTGCGTTTAAGAAGTGGATGAATACCCAGAGACGTCGGTGAAGCTTTTCTCCCACATCAAAGATGCCATCACAGTAATTAGTGAGACAACAGCGGTCCTGTTGTCTTTTTGGAGGCTTCGTCATATGATCTAATTGAGACGAGTGCGTTTGCATCCGAGTGTGATGGGAGGGCGTTCTCCGTGTAGCTGCAGGGCTCCTGTGGCGATGCAGTTAGTTACGCAGGGAATCACAATATGGGGGGGTGAAGAGACACTTAGTAGCACTGTAGAGAGAGAGAGAACCAGGAATGACTATTATGAAGACCAAAATTACAAGGGAATTTGTCACCACTGCGCAACTTGAAATACAACATGCAGATCCACACACATCCACTCAAACACATGCTTACAAGAGGAGGAAGAAAAGTGAAGGTTGCTTTTGGTATGATTGCCCGTTTAGGAAGAACATTACTGAAGTAAAACACCGTGTAACTCACTTAAAACAATACTTAGGCACTGAGATAATAACAAACAGAAATGATGGAGTTTTCCACACCTTCCAATATTGTCACAACCCTAAATGATTACCATTCAAACCTGCTCGCAGGCCATGGGCTGCTCCTTTCTTAATCGCATCAACAAAGCTATGCTATCACATTCCTGGAGGTAATGCACACTGTGTTTTATAGTAAATGCTGTTTTCATTGTACAGCACTCGCCCGTCTGAGGCCTGAATACGTTGGCGAGTAGGTCGAGGAATAGAAGCTTTGTCTGGAAGCAGCACAGGGAGAGTGTGACGTAGAGTGTGAGCACCATTTAAACATGCTGATAGTGATGCAGTGGTACTTTAACTTTAGAATAAGATTGTCATTCATTTGGCCTTCATTATGAATGCCTATATCTGACCCGGCAGCAGTGTCATGTTATGCATATTGTGTCTGTGACTGTGCTGCTGGATGTTTCTAATAATGTTATAGGAATGACACACAGGGCTATGAGCTCATTCTGGATCAGGCAGGTGGACTCTCTCTGGCTCTTTCTCTGTTTTCATCTCATAAAAGCACCCACACACACACACACACACACACACTCACTGACCTGACAGTTAAGAATGTGCTTTTATCGTTCAGGGTCAGTTGGCTAGACAAAGGTTATAATGAGCTGAGAGCTCAAGCATGTGGAAGCTAAAAAGCGAGGCCTCTTGACATTTATTTATCCTAATTCCTCTCTCCCAACCCCCGTCTCACCCCCCGTGCTGCTCATGTCCTCACCTTTCAGCTGAGAGGAAAGAGCAGAAGAACGGCGGAGAAGCTTTGACTGAGAGCCAAGCCTGTGGCAGATATATTTACTCGTGTCTTAATGTTGTGTTCCTAAATGCTTTTCTTGGACACTGATTCTGTCCTAAGGCTGAACTCCAATGGTAACACCTGTCTGTTTTTTATTAGCTTAGCTTGTTGCATAACCCCATAACTATCCATCTATGTTTATCTACCCTCCATGCTCTCCTTGTATCTCTTTACCTCTCTTAAGTCCTTCCTGCTGCGTTAAGCTCAATGTAAACTCAAGACTGTTTTCTTTTAAAGCAACAGGAAATAATCTCTTTCTTTTGTTATTCCATCAGGTATGACTTCATCGAGATCCGCGATGGGACTTCGGAAAATGCTGATGTTCTGGGTCGGCACTGCAGCAACATCGCCCCGGCGCCAATCATCTCGTCGGGATCCTCCCTCCAGATCCGGTTTGTGTCGGACTACGCCCACCAGGGAGCGGGCTTCTCTCTGCGCTACGAGATCTTCAAAACGGGCGAGTGACCTGAAACACGATCGGTAGTTTAGAAGAAGACACGCGTGCGATCGGTTCGTCGAAGTTTGGCTTTGTAATTTCATCAAAAGTGCAACATGAGTTATTTAGAATACAAAGGGATAGTAGCTAATTCATTTGGCTTATCTTCAAGATGAAATCAGCTGCTCTGTCTGTTTCCAGTGTTGGTCCACTGCTCACTGCATGTATTTAAACATGAGTTTCGACTTTTCCACCAACCAAACATTAGGCTCCGCTGTGCATTAATACTTAAGTTAATGATTTTGTCGCATGTTAATGGCCCGAAACCTGTGATCATTCACCCCAACACTCTTACAATAATTAACACCAGCAGAGGCAGCCCTGCACATAAACACAAGTTAAGAGAGAGGAGCGGGAAAAAAAGTACTTTCAAGCCGCCTGAAAGCATGCGAGGAATGCTTGCTTAATTGGAGTAGGATCCTGTAGATGAGGGAGGGGGGGGGGGGGGATGGAGAGAGCTCCAAGGCAACTTGGAGTTGGACTTAAGGTTAAAGGTTTGTGGGAGATTGATGGGGATGAGTGTGTGCCGAAATGGAATTTTCTCGAGGTCGTCGAAGTGCACGAGGTGAAGCGCACAATGAAGGTGAGATTGTAGCGGCAAGTGTATTTGTATTTGCTGGTGGTGGCGATAAGGTGTGTGTGTGTAGTAGGAGAGGCGAAATGGTCAGGTAGCCTTGAGGCAGCTGAAAGATTTATGTTCAAGCGAGTTACCAGCTGATTGGCGAGCCGCCATTTAATTTCATTCAGATATTTAGGACTCAAAATGCGTCTTGATTGACAAACAAGTAATTAAACAGTGTTTCAATGAACAGCCATTGAAGAAAAGTAACAGTCAGGGTTTATGGAGCACAAAAAAACGAGCGTTCGTCCTACAGAGAGAGCTCTGAGTTGTCACCGTTAAGAAATATCTCCGTCAAATGATTGTGACCCAGATTTGACTGTTCAGCTCCGTTACCAAGGCCACCAGCAAGAACCCAGACGATTGCATCTATATCACACAAACAAACAAACACACACACACACACATACATACATGCATATACAGGGGTGGATTGAAGGCTGGTGGATGGGGGATGCGGTTGCCATGGCTTTAACAAGATCCTGGTATAAATTCAGGGGGCATGAGAGATTGTGTCACTGTGTGAGCACATGTAGGTGTCTGCTCGATGCGCGTGTGGGTGGTTCCACTCTGCTCGTTGTGTGAGATTCTGTCCGTCTGTATGTATGTGGAGGCGGAATTATAGATGCACGTGTGTGTGAGAGAGAGAGAGACAAACATAGACAGGGGGGGAGGTGAAAATGTGAGTCAGAGAGTGAAAATGTATTCAGGGTGCGTGATTGAGGCCATGTGTTAATTACAGCATTTCCAGCGCCTGCACGCTCTCTCATCGTAGCTGTTTGTGTTACCGCAGCGGGCCTGGGCCACAAGTCTCCACTAAACACGGTTTACAACTTCTGACGGGGACACAGATCCCGTCTGAGATGTGTTTATTCCACCAGAGTGGGAGTAATTGCACCGCCGTTACTTTTACCCTCGTCGAAGCAGCAAAAGTGTGAGGCAAATCCTAGATTGCACATGTTTTTGGTACAGTGTGCAGTGGGTTCTGTGTTTGTGTGTTTTTAAAGGGTGCGACCGAGCAGAGATAGAAATCTCAGCCCGCAGCTGGGGGACGTGTTCAGCTTCCTTCCTGTATTTAACAGACAGTAGGCTGACCCCACCAGACTGTGTCTAGAAGTCAGACAGTGTGTGTCTGAGAGAGAGAGAGAGAGAGAGAGAGCGGCATATCTTGGCCTGTTTTCCGTACTGTGAACTAATGCTACTGTGGCTTGTTTTTGTTCTGTTCATTCAACCCTATTACATAAGCGGTGACTGTAACAACTCCAGGGGGTTTTGAATTGGACAAGCAATCTGTTTGTGTCAACATGTGTGTATGTGCGTCAGTGTGTGTGTGTGTGTGTGTAATGGGGTACAGTACAGAGAAATCTAATTATTTCCAGCAAGGAGGAGCAAGAGTCGACCTTTGACTCGACTTCCATACTGAGACCCCTCCACCCTTCAGTGTACCTCCTCAGGGGAGCCGGGGTGAGCGTCTGCCCCAAAACAACATCCACCCAGGCACCCACCTGCCCATACAAACACACACACGCAAACACACACACACACACACACGCATACAGTACATGTATGCTTTAATTCTGCCATAGCTACAGTGCAAGGCCACGCCTCCCCTCCTCCCTATTATTGTTGTGGCCTACTTTGCGCCTACCCATGCGTGCTTAACCCTTTATTCAGCCCAGACTACCACCCCCCCCCCACGCCCCATCCATCCCTCATGTGCTGCTGACGCTGTTACCACGGCTACAGGGGGAAGACTTGCCAGGAAAGCCCCCTTTTCCCCAGTTCCCCAAAACCCACCACTAGCGCGGCGGGGGCAGATAAGGACGCAGCCAATCCCGAGTTAAGGCGGGGGGGGGGCCGAGATCACCCCGGGGCGTTGGGTCTCCTCCGTGACCGCTGTCGAGGCATCTGCGGGGTCACGGCGGGAGCGCAGCCATAGGCGGGACCCCCAACCAAGTGCCAGTCACAACATTGGGCCCTGTGTGTATTTCTGATGCTGCGGCGTTGATTGGATGCCAACCCTTGCGCCAGTGACGGCTGTTACTACATGGCTAACTGCCACGTGGTGTTTATTCCTGAAACACAAGTAATTATCGAGCACAGGTAAATTAAATCCATGAGTGAATAACATGGATGAGCGCGAAGAGTGTTTAAAACTGATCAGAGATGAAGAGAATGAAATATTAAGGCTCGATCCGCAAACGGCACGAATGAGGAAATCGAAACGCTTTGATCACAAACAGCAGGAGGCTTTTTGCTGTTTAGCGCTAAAGATTTTTAAAAAACGTGTGCATTCCATTACACATAACAGAGTCGTCAGTGTGACTTAGGAGGAGCATTCCTTTCTATGTAAAGCTGCTTCAGACTGATGTCTCTCTGGGTCCATAAAAGTGTCGAGCCGTGGCACGCTAACAACATTGTTTTTCTTCTTCTTGTTCGCGTTATTGTTTTTGTTGTTGTTATTGAGGGTTTTCCACCCCAACCCCACTGTGGAGCACGCCCCCACCACTACACATTCACGCACGCACACACACACACACCCCACATCCCCTCAGGAGACACTTTCTTCAATGAAATCCGGAACTGCGCTCCAGCAGGGTTAGACGAGAGATCTGCGTGTGTCTGAGGAGCGGATGCATGTCAGACGGAGACAGGCAGGTAGAGTGTGGAGGGGCGAGGCGAGGTTTTTGATGTGAGGCAGACGCCGTGCTCTCGCAGAGGTGAGCCCTCAGCAAGAGCTGCGTGCCGAAGAACGGGTCGAGCGAGACGACGCCGGGGCGAGACATGAGAGTTAAAAGAGTGAATGAACAGAGACTCGGCGTGTTGCTGCTGAGAAGACAGGGAACGGAGGAGAGGAGGAGGAGGAGGAGGAGGAGGAAGGAAGGAAGGAAGGGGGTTGCCCTGACACAACATGTGGAGCTGCTACTACATCAAGCAGTCATGTGCAAGAGTCGAGTGATTTTCTACCCAGCAACTCGCCCTCTCGCCCCCTTGCGTCACTCACACATACACGCTCACACCATGACCTCCCCCTCTTTGCCAGCAGACAGCTCTCGCCAAATGGCAGCTCATGGTGCGATGCAAGCACCAACCGGGGCCCTGCATACGGCAGGCATGTGCGAGTGTCTGTGTGTGTGTGTGTGTGTGTAAGACACGGGCCTAGGGTTGACGGAGGGAGGCAGTGACGGGCACTTGTTTTTGTCGTGTTCACGTACTGTGAACTAATGAACGAAAGGAGAAGGTACCCATGCATACGGAAAACCGCAAATATGTGAACGCACTCACGCACACAAGTGATGGCGCGTGGCGGCACCGAGTGTGTGAAGCGACTACTTTGTGTGTGTGTGTCTAAAACTCATAAGAGCGGCGTGTTTGCAGGCGATGGGGTCAAGCTGTGCTCAGATTGAAGTTTTTTTGGCAGCAGGACTCCAGAACGCTGCACCGTGACCCAGTAAGAAACAAGGCCAGTGTGTTACTGGGTCTGACGCTTGCTGTGAAGCCACCACACACGCTGTCAGACACACACACACACACACACACAGATGCTCATACAGAGGGACAAACATGCCAGCAGCAAAAGATGAAAGCCATGCGAGGAGCTTAACAAAAGGATGTCATGTATTCATGACGTGCATGTTTCACTCATACACAGCTTTAGATACACATACAAAAACACAGAGAGGAGAGATCAGTGGTTGAGAGTATGGGTAGATATCGCTGGTAGCTTTCTGTAAATTGCCGTCATATGTCAACATGCCTAGTTCTATGTGTGTGTGTGTAGGCATCCAGGCTACGAGCATGAAGGCAGATGATCCACGGTTGTGTTTTTGATGTTGCAGAGTGTGTGGGAGTCGACACACAAGAGGTTGAGTGCCGCTTTTAACATGTGTGGGCAGATCTCGAACATCTTCAGCCTGACATACGCTCACGCGTGCAAAACAGATCGATCGGCAGACAGGTATACACGGAAGACGTGAGACAATTGGCATTAATGTAGAATTTAGGAAGAAAGAGTCAAAAAGAAACTGTTAGAGAACAGAAAAAAACAAAGCGAGAGAGATATTGTAGAGGCAGTCTCCTGTGTTTTTTCCCCGTCTCTCTTAGGCCTGATTGGGGTCAGCTCTCTACCATTAACCAAGTGCAGACAGGGAGGGCCAGTCGACCCCTCAGCTTTTATAAGGCTGCCTGATAATAAGGACTGGTGCCTTGGAGGAATGCAAAGGAAGGAATGCGCTGTTGACATGTCTGCACTCCTTTAAACGCTGCTTTTATGAATATTTATCTGCTTATCAAACGCAGCCTGGCACTTCTCTGAGACAATGCAGCGCTGCCGGATGCAACCCCACTTTCCCAGTTTTGAAATCCACCAGAAGCTTCTCCCCTGAGTCTCTTCAACCTGGCCTCCCTCTCTGCTTTTCTAACGCACTCAATGATGGGAAAGTACAAGAGCAGACTCTTTTCCTTGTGCTAGTTATACGCTTGCCAGTTGTGAGCGTCTTGGCAAAGTAATGAGTTTTTACCCTCTATCAGTTGTAATTTTAACTGGAGAGAAGTTTGGAAAACTATGCAAGTGTGCTTATAATTAGCCACAAGAAGAGCAGCGATTTCAGTGGCATCAGTTGGTTTGGAAAGGACACAACCGCAGGCATTTCTGACATGCAGCTAAACGAAGACCTAATGAGAATCCGGCAGTCTCTATAGCAACATTATCACACGATATTTGCCCTCATGCCAAGTATGAAAATAGATGGAGACACAGAAAGAGATACAAGTAAACAGATAGGTGTTTATAGCCGAGGTATAAAGATGGAAACATTCGAGGTGAGAGCGGATGGGCAGAAAATAGCCGGGGTTTGTGAATGAGACTGTGTGTGCCGGACCGTCGGCTCTCTCCCACCCTCATTGATGTGCCGGTCCATAAACACTCGGCCGTGACTCAGGCTCCCCAGTGGGCCGCGGAGCACTGGCTGATGGGTAGATGATCTGAGCCACACAGCTGCCGCAGCTCAAGGTGAGCCGCCCAGGGCGCATAAATCTGCATGGATAATGAGGAGCCGCCGCAAAGGGCCCACTTAGAGCCATTACACAGCGTTTGTGGTGTGTGTGATAGAGAGACTGTGCAAAAAAATCAGTCAGGTGAAGAGAGAGTGTTAGAGAATATTTGTTTTGACTATATAGAATAGTGCCGGGGTCCTTCTGCGCTCCTTTTTAGCCTCGCGTAAGATTGTATCATTGAGTCTTATTGTGTAACGTATGACGAAGGGGTCTTTTGAGGGTGCAATAAAGCTGTCAAACATAATATTCCTACTTTTTTTGAAAGTATAATAGATTTTACTTCATGGTGTCAGACATGGTGGTGGAGCTGATTGGTGGCATATAGCACAGACAGAAAGAGCTGCTCATAGCGTTAGATACACCCACTTGAGCATTTACTCACTTTGTATTTTCTCCTCCATCGGTAAACGGTGTGTGTTTGTGCGTCCCAACCACCACCACTACTGTATATTCCACGCTGTCAGTGATGAACGACTCTCCGAAACACACTCTGCAAGTCAGATTGGCTATCCGAGTGTGATCGATTGCTCACTCCTGCATCCCCTCCTAATATGACCGATTGCTTATTCCGTTCTAAATACCCTCTCATCCTTTTATCCGCTCAGGGTCGGAATTCTGCTTCCGCAACTTCACCAGCTCCTCCAGCATGATCGAGTCCCCAGGCTTCCCGGATAAATACCCCCATAATCTGGAGTGCTCCTACATGATCATCGCCCCGCCCCTCATGGACATCACCCTCACCTTCCTGACCTTCGACCTCGAGAACGACCCCTTGCTGGTGGGAGAGGGCGACTGCAAGTACGACTGGCTGGACGTGTGGGACGGCCTGCCGCAAGGTGAGGGCGCGCACACATGTACACTGTTCATGGGGATAACACACACACACACACACACACACACACACACACACACACATTAAACCCACATTCAGGACCCACACAGACTATCCCCCTTACATTCCCACACAGATATTTGCAAACCAGTCTTCAATTTCCTGAGCAGCCGTCGCTCCCTTTGATGTAAGCAGCCTGGCTTCACATTCCTCCACATTACATAGAGGAAACATTATTTCACACGGGGAGCTGAAAGTGCCTCGACACCCCTAAGGAGCAGCCCTTTCCCATGCCCCTCTTCCCTCTCCATAATAACACCCTTCATCACCCCCTTGCTGTCCTCCCTGTCCTCCCTCCTTATCATCTAGCGCTTCCTTCCTCCCTCGGGCAAGTGAGAGTGATGGCCACGATGAATATCTGCTTGTGTCCAATAGGAGATGCCGAGCGTTGCGAAAGTGGCCTATCGGCCGAGATCAGGAAGTGGCGAGGAAAAAACATTTGAAGGGCTTTGATAGTGACCGCCACAGGGTAATGTTAGTTTCTGTAGCGCTGATAAAAATCTCATTAGTAGTGGTGAGTGGTTCACTTCCCACCTCTCTCTTGCTGACTTTCTTTTCCCCCTTTTTTTTGAATTACGGAGCCGAGTACTGAGGATTTGTTCTAATTATTCTATTTCCAGTTGCTAAAAAGGGATCCAAGTGGATTTAAAATTCCAATTATAGCCTTGAATTTGGGAGCTTTGATAGCTGAAAACAATTTGTGGCATTCAAAGTTGAGAATTAGGAGGAAATTAAAGTGTAACCCAGTTCCAGTGAGCCGAGTCCTCTGGCATGAAAGAGGGACAGGAGACAAGACGGAAGGGGGAAGAATTTAGTGTCTGGTGAGGGAGCTACTCTTGAGACTATTGTAATCCTCGCTAGTATGTGTGTGTGTGTGTGTGTGTGTGTGTGTGTGTGTGTGTGTGTGTTTTGTGACCATGTGTGTGTCTGCAGCTGATCCCAGTGCAGCTTGCATTAAGGCAGGGATTCCAATCCCCCTGCTGGGCCCTGGCTGAGACACACATGGCAGATGGAGGGATGGACAGGAGAGAGAAGGGAGAGAGAGGAATGATGGGAGGGAGAAATGTGGGGGAAGCGTGCTGTGACTCATTAGACAACGCTTACCGAAGCAGCGTGGCCACTGGAAACCTGTCTTTGCAGGGCTGGATCGCTTTTACTATTTACTATTTTACTACTCAGTTTTTCAAAATAAAAGCACAATAACTTTTAATGCAATATCACCCTGAAAACAACTTAAAAATCTAACTTTTTAGATCAAGACAACCTACAACATAAAACATGTTTACCTCGGTTTGATTCATGTGTGTGTGTCTGCAGTGTCTCCTCTGATCGGCCGGTACTGCGGGACAAAGATCCCTCCGGAGATCCAGTCGTCCTCCGGCCTGCTGTCCCTCTCCTTCCACACCGACATGGCCGTGGCCAAAGACGGCTTCTCCGCCCGCTACAACATGACGCACAAAGAAGTCAGCGACTGTGAGTGCGAGATAACTTAAAAATGAGTGTGTGTTCGCACACATGCGGATGCTCTCTGTGTCGGTTTGTTTCCCTGTTTTCATCACCGCCTCTATTTTCTCCCTTTCAACAGTTTCTTCTCCGTCATCTCTGCTGACACTCATCTTTCCTTCTTCATCTTTCACTCCTCTTACCCTCTCGATCTTTTCAGCTTTGCCAACTTTAATGCTATTTAAATCTCGCCCCTCTCAGTCTATTTCGCTCCCTCCTAAGAGAGCGCCGTTTCTCAGAAGCAGACTCCTACTATTTTCTTTCAGAATATAAATTAACTTCACCTCAATTTACCTCTGCTCACCTGTTGGGCTGCTTTCCGTCTCCCTTTGCCCTTTCTCTGTCTGGATTTACATTTTCCTCTCTGTCTTCAAGCTCTATAATATGTTGCTTAGATCTTCCCTGTCAGTCTCTTTAAAAATGTTCTTGCACCTGTCATCCATTCGGTTCAGCTTTCCTTCTTCTTTTTATTTTTAAAGCTGCTTTTTCATCTCCACTGTAAAGCCGCGTCAACAAATATACAGTTAACGCTTTGCTTTCTCTGTCTCCCCCCCCCCCCCCCCCCCCTCCCCTCTCTTTGTCCCACCAGCGTTCCACTGCAGCATGGCGCTCGGCATGGAGTCGGGGAAGATCAGTGACGATCAGATCACCGCCTCGACAACCTTCTACGACAACCGCTGGTTGCCGCGGCAGGCCCGTCTCAACAACGACGACAACGCCTGGACGCCTTCAGAGGACAGCAACAAGGAGTACATACAGGTCAGGTTTTAACAAGTGGAAAATATAACAAGTTCCAGCTGTGTGTTCAGCATTGCCTTCACTTCCTGCGAACAAAGATGTCTCAGTGACGCTAGAGTAGAGGAGAGGATGCACCTCTCGTATGCGGTGAAGACATACAGCAGGACCGCTGAGAGGAACTAGAGGAACTGCGAACTGATGATAAGGAAGTGCTTCTGCGCTCTCAATCTTTCCTGTCTTGAACACACACTGGCCCCAACATGCATGCATGCATACGTAGACACACACACACACACACACACAGGAGAATGCACCATGATTGATGAAGGCGCTCTCCAGGAATACATCCGAACACTACGCCATTGATCTTTGCCTGCAGCCTTCCTCCCCTTGCACACGACAATGCGAAGATTTGCACACACACACACACCACCTAAGCTCCCTCAGCAGTAGGCCACAGTCGGTGTCCATCCCCTGCTGTCTGTGTGACAGATAGACACAGCAGCTGGTCTGTCTCTGTTATCTACATCAGCCCTGAGCCCCACGAATCCCTTCAGCAATCTATACAGTCGCCCTATTACTGCGTTCTATTCTCCTGTTCAAGTTTTTAATTATTCCTCCTCTGCTTCCCCTTTTCTAGGTTGACCTCCACTTCCTGAAGGTTTTGACGGGAATCGCAACACAGGGGGCCATTTCAAAAGAGACGCAGAAGTCCTACTACGTCACTACCTTTAAACTGGAGGTCAGCACCAACGGGGAGGACTGGATGGTCTACCGGCACGGCAAGAACCACAAGGTAGGAACCAGCACTAGAGATAAAAGCAGACCTCCTTATCCAAGACATGGACTTGTAGTTTCAAGAGCCTGTTTCTCTAACCTTTACTCTACCATCATGATATTTTCTTCAACAACAGAGGCTGTAGTGTTTGTCCCAGAGTCGTATCAATAGATGGAACATTCCTGCAGCAGTCATTCCCCTTCTAGGACTGTTTATGAACCTGAGTCATGACCCCAGTCATGAGGCAGAGAAAGAGGGAATGGGAGGGAGGACGAGATAGAGATAGAGAGAGGAGGGGAAGCTGACAAACAAGAACAATGGAGTCCTCTATGTGCCCTTATCTAGGCTTGCTATGTATCATCTCTCTCTCACATCAACGTGCAAATAAACACACGGCGGGGGGTTGTGGACTCACACCAGGTGTGGACTGAGCAAGTTTGGGTGTTTCATAGCAACATTATTTGACGTTTCGTGCTTTGTGTGTAAGGTGTGTGGGGGGGGGGGCTTGTGTACGCAGGCTTGTGTATGAACAGTGTAGGTTGCTGTTGTCATGTCCTACAGTAAGCCCGTCTCAAGGGCATTTGAACTCTGTCCCTCATATCTGGGCTAAGGTCACTGTGGACTGCAAGCAGCCAAATAGAGAGTGGCAGCAGTGGGTGTGTGTGTGTGTGTGTGTGTGTGTGTGTGGAGGGTTAATCCACACTCCCTTACCCACACAGACCGGGGGCCCCCTTCTGTGTGTGCCAGTGATTGGTTTGGGTGGGTCCGGCGGGGGGTATTTGATGTGGAGATTATTGGGCGGAACGTGGATTTGACTTTAAAAGTCAACATCTGTGCGAGATATTAGAAACCCCCCCCCCCCCACACTCCTTCCACACACACACAAAATCAACAGACCCTCCCTTTAAATAACCTCTGGCTGATCTCTCTCTGTCTGGAGATCTGTGCGTGTGTGCGCATATGTATGCGTGTAATCTGAGTCCACTAATCTGTCTGTGCAAAAAAATAAAAACTGCCGAGACGCTTTCAGCCTGATGCATCAACATGCAATTTGGGAGCGCTGCTGCTTGTACGATCGCTTTGAAAATTTGAAAATTGGTTTTGCTTTCAGCTTTCAGAATGCACAACGTCCAGCAGCAGAATGAAAGATCAATAAAAGATAGCAGACACGTTTGACTCAGCTAACCAAAGAGTTTTGTGAATATTCTTTACTGGGTATATATATTCTATATGAAATGTAGATGTGATTAAACATAGCATCTGTTTGTGATGATCATAAAGAACAGATGACAGCTTTTACTCCATGCGTGATGGGGGCTACCGCATTATGCGTAAAGGATTTATTGTTCATTCTCTGATGTGTCACACAGAGATCTCAGATTACAACTTTCTCCTTGTATTTTTTGCAGACAGTGACGGATGGATTTGGATTCAGGGTCGACACTTTTGATTTATAGCGGACAGTTTTCAGTCACGATTGAGCCTGACTTTATAATTAAACAGTTCACTGTACGGCCAGCTTCTCCTCCGGTCCCCGCAGGTTTGCGGTTGAATCTTCCGTGACTGCTAATCCACCGGTCCTGTCGTACAAACTCCCAGTTAGCCCGTCCTAAGCCCCCCCCAAAGAGCCCTTAAGTGGGTGAAACTCAAATCTCGTCAGGGGGTCTGTAATGACTGGGATTTGGCTCTTCTAATTGTCATTTAACAGTGAGCTCGAAAGCTAATGTGGCTTTGGAAGAGTGCGTGCGTCGGTGCTGTTTGTGGAAGGTTGAGCCGTGAGTGTGTCTGTGCATCAGATATGAATCACCAGTGAATAAAAAAGGATCGGCCCTGGCAGTTCTTGCCTCGCTGTGTTTGTTATTGGGGGCCATTTATTGTCAAGATTCATGATCTTATTTGCCGCGTTAACAAAGAGCGAAGGATTTAATGCCAATAAAGACTATTTGACAGAAAGAGAGGCAGAGGCTGAAAAGGGAAAGGCATTGTGGGAAATGGGCCTTTTTGTTTTTTTTGTAAAGAAATTAAAGTGCTGTCGGAAGAGAAAAACACCAGCGCTGCAGATTGCAATCACCTCAGTCACACCAGCACACAGGCGTTGTGCTCGTCCGTGTGTGTGTGCACGTGTGTGAAATATTTTTTTTCACTCATTTTTTGCACGCCAACACGTTTTCAGTTTGACACCCATGTGATTTGTTAATTCTAAATCACACTACTCACATGCGCACCTCATTACTTGATGAGACGTGTGCACACTAAGGAATTGCATATCTCTCTCACACACGCACACACATACACATATTTTTTTAGCGATTGACACACACACACACAAACACATTTACATTAAAGGCACACACTGTCATCCGTCTGTGAGGAAAATCCCATCAGCCCCAGCGCTAACCAAGCATTGTGTTACTAAAAAGCATTGTGAGGCTGTGCTAAATCTGTCCAACACACACACCTGGGAGAAAAAAACCCGCCTACACAGCATTTCAGCCTGCTCCTCTATCACACTGTGTCACACACCCTCATACAGATATGTTTTAAACTCATTCTTCAAGGTAATACATTAAACAAACTTTGACAGACTTGGACATATGGTGGTGCAAGACAATTTCTAAGGATCACTGCGTCAACCATACACACACACACCCATACACACACACACATACATACACACCGTAAGCAAGTCTTAGGGCCAGTAGTGGAGAGCGGCCAGCTGGAACCAGTTCCTACTGTCAATATCTTCATACCGAGAGTGAGGGAGGGAGAAAATGTCTGGAGCAAAGAAGGGGGCGGGGGGGGGGGGGTAGAAAGAGAAAGACAGAGGGAATAACTAGAGCAAGAAGACAGGGATGAAGAGTGTAATGGACAGAGAAGGAGTCTGGGAATCAAGGGAACAACGCGGGGATGAAGAAGCGGCCGGGAAACGAATAATGTCTTGTGCAGAGCTCGCCGCGTCTCCCCGCGGTGCCATCAGCTTGAAGGAAAACACTGGCAGAGGATGGAGACATGTGCCAAAAACACAGTGTTGAGAGAGAGAGAGAAAAGAGAGAGATGGAAAATGAATCGAGCTCTGATGTATACATCTATCCACACCTCGTTTAACCCATTTTCTTCCCACTAACTGTGAAATTCAGTCTGTTTTCGACTGGTCCAGAGCTGTAGATATGTCGAGGGTGTTTGCTAGGCACCTTTCACGGTGACCTCCTTCTCCGGAGAGGTTATCAATAGTTAAACACCCATGGTGCCTGTGTCCCGCCAATGTCCACACAAATGAGTCTGGCCGCGGCATGCTGCTGTGTGTGTGCATGCGGGGCTTCGTTATATGTTCATGACTCTCTCCACACCACGAGACACAACATGACAACGTTAATTATTCAGCCCAGCTCGCCAGCCTGTCACGTGACGGCTCACACAGGCGCACATGTACAAAACAACATGCCAGTCGTCAGGCAGATTATAGAGGGGGCCCAGACAACAGGCTGGGAGCTTTGCCCACCTGCAATACCAGCATTCATTTCAAGTCACATCCCACTGCGAGCTAGGCCAAAAGTAACCACGTTATCTGCAAGTTGGTCAATGAGCAGCCATCTGCTCCCTCAGGCCATTGACCTTTAACCTTGGAAGGAATGAGTCAGGGGTCAAATGAGCGACCTCTCAGGTGCCCTGATAATAGACGGGAGGAAGTGGAGGAGACAGAAGAAGCCGAGAGCCGACTGACAACATCTCATTGGCCTCTCGCATGCAAAAGAAAAATGGAAAGAGCCTCCCGCGAGTCGATTCCCATTGAACAAACTGTTCTTTTTGTGTCAGTAATGTTTGCTAGATTCTCTGCTTTCATCCAAAGATGAAAATAAAGCGAAGCAGCAATATTGTAATGCACCAGCTAATGGCCTTTTAGTGATGACAGGCATCTTTATGACTGGAACATTGGACATTTCTGGGAAGGAGTGGACCGATTTTTTTACAGACTTTTTCCGAACTTTATACTTTTGAAACTGGCCCTGATCATGCCACGTTTACATCGTTTATTTACCTGATAGTCTGTATTATTCATTGGTGGTTGAATGATGATGTTTGTCAGATTCTAAATTATGACCACAATTGAGTTAAGAATGGGGGAAATTCCATTGAATTCAGCCCTATTAAGAGATAAATACTTGGATGGAATATTTCCTGTTTCGGTGATGAATCTGTTCGTTGTTCTTTCCTCCTTACTCGCCACCACTCCCTGCCTCCTCTTCCACATTCCTCCGCTCGTATTCAGTTATATCTGCTGCCCTCTATTCAACCTCATCTTTGTTTCCACCTCTCTCTCTCTCACCCGCCTCACCCCTCTCTTCATCTGTTTTCAACTATTCTTCTGAGGACTCTTCCTCCCTGCAGTCATTGTCTTGTTTTTCCCGTCCTCTCCGTCTGTCCTCCGTGCCGCTCTTTGTTCCACAGACCGAAAATATCTGGGAGCAGTAGAGATGGGTCGGTTGTATGCGAGGCAAACCCTCCATCATACGCTCGCCTTTGTGTGTGCATGCGTGGGTGTTTACATAACCCCCATAAGAGCCCGCATCCACTGTTTGGCCTCTTAGGTAAACACAACGGCTGCCTATCCTCAAATCCAGCAGCAGATACAGCCGAGATAGACCCGCTTATCTGTTCAAACACTCACACTGCTTTGTATTACCAGTGTCAGCTCCTCTTGATTAAATCAGGCCATGCCCAAAATCAAATAAAACCCCTCGAGTAGGATTTTGAAGCCCCATCACTCATATTCCCACTGGTTATGGAATTTCTGGAATATAATATCTTTTTTTTTTTTTTTTTGGGGGGGGGTGGCATGCGCCAGACAGGGAATTTCATAAATGGGTCACTATACACCAATATAATATTTTTAAACTCGAACGGAAAATCACACTGTTTATCACTTAAACTGAAAAAACAACATCATCAAAATAAGAGGGAATTTTTTAGGCTACGGGAACGTGCTTTGGTTTGATCATCCTGTGCTTGGATTAGAGTAAAGGATCTTTTGTAGGGTGTAGGGATCTTTTTTAAGAAGTGATGCCTTTAATCTTTAATTCAGCTGCTTGTAGCAGTTGTCTTTCCGTCTCTTTATTGTGCATAGTGGCTCTGACGTTAGGCAGTGTGGTTTTTGCGAATAACTGTTGGTCTCCTATCAGCCGACCCGGTCGACCACAGACAGATAGAGTGAATGACACTTAACAGTCAGTCAGTGAAAAGACACTTCCCCTGCTGGGTGTGTAGGATGTGTGTGTGTGTGTTTGTGTGGGTTCCTGTGTTTCCTGTGTCTTTGTGTGTGTGGTTTCAGTTTGTAGCCACCAGCAAGAGTGTGCAGAGATATCAGGCAATTTAAGAGGAAAATGGATGGAGGTGTTGAGATGCAGAGGGAGGAGCTGGTGGGAAGAGGAAGTTATTCACAAACAGGGAGATGTAGTTTTGCGAAAACGTGTGTGACACAAAAAGGAAAGATAGGAAGACTCGTGTCCGTCATTGAGTGTCCCCATCCAAGCTTTTTCTGCCCAAAGCAGGAAGTAACCTGACCACCCTGGTTACATTTGAGTGTTCGCGGAGAAGAAGTGAATGTTGATGCTTTGGGAAGTTAATTTCACTCACATCCTGCCCACCTGGTGAGACTTCCTGCGTTTGACGGCCAATCATGTTTGGTCGTGTCAGGTCATGTCTCCCGCAGCCTCCTATTCGGCAACCAGCACGGAGGTGTGTGGAGGTTGATGTATGAGTGAGCAGTGTGTGTGTGTGTGTGTGTGTGTGTGTGAGAGAAGCCCTCCATCCATCGCCGGGCTTTCCCAGCCTTCCAGCGCCGAACCTTTGACCCCAAAACACAACGACAGCTGGGCTGGTGACATTGGATCCGTGTTTGGGTTGTGTCTGCTTTGTCCGGCCTGCCACTGTGTGTGTATGTGTGTGTGTGTAGCCAAACGAAACCGTGCACCGTGGGTGGGTGTAGAGCAAGAGTGTGTGTGTGTGTGTGAGAAAGGGAGAGATAAGACTCATACTGGTATGAGCAGTACATCTCCTTCTGACAGTAACCTTTGTTTGCCTTCTGTTTGTCTCTGTGTTCCCAGATTTTCCACGCCAACACAGACCCAGCCGAGGTGGTTCTGAACCGCGTCCCACAGCCAGTTCTGGCCCGGTTTGTCCGTATACGACCACAGACCTGGAGGAACGGCATCGCCCTGCGATTCGAGCTCTACGGATGCCAGATTACAGGTGTGTGTGTGTGTGTGTGTATGTGTGTGGGCGTGTGTGCAACTTCCCCAACCTTTATTTTGCCTGAAGAAAGTTGACTTTGCCAGAATCCCCCGGCTTTGCGCTCCTACAGCTCGACTGAACAGAAACAACAGTTCTCTGCTGCACATTTGGTTCTTGTTCAAAGGCATTTCAGATCATTGAACATCTGCAAAAATGAACCTCCTAAACTGGAAAAAACAAGAACACACACACTCACACGTACATGTGTATTTCCACTCTTTCCCACACTCCCACTGCTATCTTTTAAACATAGAAAGCCTCTGGCTAATTAAAGGAAACTCTATTCTTCCTTCCAAAGGCACCACCCGTGTCATTTCTTCTTCACCGCGCTCGCTTTCTGTCTCCGTCTCCCACAGCGACGCCTCTTTTCCCTCTCGTGGCTTCAGATACTTTTGTTGCAGTGTCCTCTTTGCTCTGTGAGCTCCTCTATATTGAGAAATGAGTTCCGATCAATCATTCATGGCTCCCTGTTCACTCTTACATCAGAAACTGTGATTCGCCTCAGCCTCAACAGCTGCTATTGAAATAACTATTAGCTCTTACGGTACAGGTACACACACACACACACACACACACACACACACACAGGCAGGCTTCTAAATATAGCAGATGACCTCAAAAGCATACACACCCTTTGAAATGTACACAGACACCACCCACCGGCACGCACGTACACACGCATAAACACTTCCTGTGCCTTTTATTCATTATTTACATCTCCTGCTTTTGCAGTGACATAACAGCATGAAACTTTGATCTGTGTTCTTAAACCGTCAGCACAACTAACATCTCCCCATCTCCCTTCCTCCTGCCCTTTCTCTCTTCCTCAAACTCTCGCTACCTCTCCACGCTCACCCACCACCTGCAGTCTCTTGCTCTCCTCCCAGCTTCCCCAAGCCGTCATCCTCGGCTCTGACTCTTTTTCTCCCCCGCACTCTTTCCTCCCTCTACTTCTCTGCCACCCGACTCCTCATATTATACCTCTCTTATCCCCTTAATCCTCATTTCTCCCTCTCACCAACTCCCTCTGCAAGTTACTGTCAATGCTACCTGCTCATCCATATCTGAATGAGCTTCATTTCCAAGAGCTTTTGCATGTACGTGGAAGCTTCCCTCAGTCAGTGAGTGTTCATAAAATGTGCGCAGCGCAGTGAACAGAAAAGCTATTGTAGAAGAGAGACAATAACATATTTAGGATGTTTGTGTGAGATTGTGAAGGGCATGAATGCAAAGCAGGGGGGTTAAAGTATGCTTTTATCTCACTAATGGCCGTCTAATTGCGCATATTGAACATGAAGCAATAGTGCTGCGCTACACATCTCTTTTCCTCCAGTCCCTCACCTCAGCCTCTCCTGTTCGCTCCAGTCTACACTCCTAATGCTCAGTGGCCAGGAGTGCAATTCTGTGGTGAAGCTCAACAGCTCCCAGGCGGGAATATGTGTAACAGAGTGTATGTTTGGTCATCGCTGAAACTTCTCCATCAACCTTGCGGCCCCCCCGAGGTGAAGGTTAAAGTTATCTCTGCCCTCTCCGCTTTCCACTCCAGATGCTCCATGCTCAGACCTGCAGGGCCTGCTGTCCGGCCTGCTCCCCGACGCCCAGATCTCCGCCTCCTCCAGCCGGGACATGGTGTGGAACCCTGGGACCGCCCGCATGGTGGCCAGTCGCTCCGGCTGGTTCCCGGCCCCAGCACAGCCCCTGGCTGGAGAGGAGTGGCTTCAGGTACGAAGGGGTTTTAAATGCACTTCTTCAACATTTTGGCCGCGTGTTTCCGGTGCCATTGGGTCACATAAAGTCTGGTTGTGGTGTCGTTTCTTCAGGGTAATTGTTACTTTCACAGTTAAAATGTCATGTTGTTTCAATAAGAAGTACTGGATTCCAGCCGCCAGAGGCGAGCAAGCTAAAACAAGAAGCACACGGCTGCAATAAAACATAAGCATGTGTTGTTTTGTGTAAAGCATCATGTCGCCATGCGTTTATCTAAATCTGATCTCTGCAGGTGGACCTCGGCGTGCCGAAGACGGTGCGCGGTGTGATCACGCAGGGCGCAAGGGGAGGAGACGCAGGAAGTGGGGCGACCACGGATAACCGGGCGTTTGTCAGGAAGTACAAAGTGGCACACAGCCTGAATGGGAAAGAGTGGAATTTCATCATGGACAGCAAGACCAGCCTGCCAAAGGTGGGTTAAGGAAGGAAGATAGTGACGTGTTTGTGTCTGCAAAAAACCCTCCCCCGCATACAGACAAACCATCAAGTTGACATTTGTTTTTGTGTATTTCTTGGACAGATTTTTGAGGGGAACACACACTACGACACCCCGGAGCTGCGCCATTTTGAGGAGATAGTGTCCCAGTACATCAGGCTTTATCCAGAGAGGTGGTCTCCAGCAGGGATCGGGATGAGAGTGGAGATACTTGGCTGTGACCTTCCAGGTAGGACATTCTGCTGTTGCTTATGTGACAGGGGATCATTTTATATATGATAATTTCTACACTATTCCAGGCTGAATTATTTGCCCCGAGCTCTAATAAAGTGATCCAAACAGAACTCAACGGACCTTGAGGAAGGTGGAAAAGTGGGGTTTTGCATTCGATATGCATGAGAGTCATTAGAGTCTGCCAGAAGTGAAGGGAGAAAGTGATAGCGCGATGAAAGCTTGACCCTCAAAGGTTACGATTTTGAGAGATTGTTTCACCTGGAAAATATGAGTTAGTTACAACAAGTGCTGGCGTCGGCAGGGAGTGGACAGGGTTCAGTTTGAAGGAATGCGTCCCCAGAGAGAGAGAGAGAGAGAGGGATCATTTGGTTTGTTCACTTTCCAGCGTGGTCTGTTATCCAGATGTGAGGTAGCGCTGGAGAAACACACACACATTCAACCGATCTCGCAGACATCTGGATCCCTTACGACTCCCTCTGTGCCTTAACAGGATGACTATCTGTCTATACAGCACAACATGTTCGGCACTTACATACACACACACACCGCTGTACTGTAATCACACCACTATACATGCCATTTAGCCGTCGTTGAGGTGATTTGTGTGTGTGTGTGTGTGTCAGCGCGTGTGTGTTTGTGTGCTTGTACAAGTGCTGATGAAGTGCACTGCTCTCTAGTCGAAGAGAGATGGATTATAAACGCACTACAAGGAACTTTAACTTTGCGTCTTCTTATTGATGGTCTCGCTTTCTTACGTATGTCGTATAGAGACTTCAGTGTTAAATTGAGACTATTTCATAACCAGTCAAAAGTTCCACAGTGACTTAAAGAAGAGCACATCATCATTATCACCATTTATGTGGACACAAAGTCAAAAATAAGCTGATGATAGAGCACAATTGTGCTTAAATTCATGTGCTCATGAAAGTGTTCTGCTAAACACTGTGGGAGGGGCAAAAACAGGAACAGAAATCGCCAAATATGGAAACAGAACAACAGAAACAAAAAACCCCATGGTTTACCACTTTTTGCACAGGGGGGGGGTGATTTTTATCAGATGGTGTGGGGGGTTTGAGGGAAACGCGTCAAAGAAAACTGCTGCTGAGGGTCACACATTGTTCGCAGGCCTCCAGAGCTCAGCATGAATAGTGAATTACTGCTGACATCCTGCAAAGCATTCACTTCCTCTAACACTCAAACTATTCGCTTCTTTCTGTTCTGCCCTCTGTTGAATTTCTTCTCCTTTATATGAATTGAGAAGTATTTATTGTTTTTATCACAAATCTTGCTTAGTGTAAAATAGCAGCAGTGAGGCTAGTCTCTCTCCCCGTTCCTACACTTGGTTGCAGTTCTTTCTTATTCCACCCTGAGGCCCAGTGCATGGGTCTGTAAATGTTTTTGTTCTTTTCTTTTTCGATACCATGCCTCCTCTCCTTTCCTCCTCCGTTACTCATCTGCTGTCGGTCTTCACTCCTTCTGTTTCCCCATGTTGACGCACAACTATCTGTCTCTCACACACACACACACACACACACACACACACACATTCACAGCCTCTACAGTGACTATTTTTGTTCCAGTGTACGTGCTCCAAAAATGCAAAATTTATGAGCTCAGGAAGGCAATTTTAGAGACTAATCTGTAAAAAAAAAAAAAATGCAAAATATCATCTCTCCCTTTTTCCAGGACAGATCATTTCAGTCTTAGGTGCGCTGAGTTGTAGCTCACACATGCACATACACACCTGTGATGTAAATCTCAGGTGTCTCAGCTTCACAGTAGCTTCCTAGTTCCTTGAAAACATAAGTAAATATGGTGGAGCTCACTATAAATGATGACAGACTTTTCTCAGTTTAGTCCTATACTTATTTTGGCTTGTCATATAAGTTCTTTATATAATGTCACAATATCCCGTCCGTTGTGTGTGTGTGTGTGTGTGTGTATGAACGTTGACCTGAGCACTTAACCCCACCCACCAGAATATAAAACAATGGCTACTTATCTTTCCCATCATGTTCTTTTGGGTTTTATGTGTGTGAGTGTGCGTGCATGTGCATCCATTTCTTTGTGTGTGTGTGTGTGTGTGTGTGTGTGTGTGTGTGTGTGTGTGTGTGTGTGTGTGTGTGTGTCTAGGACTGCCAAGCAGAGATTTACTGAAAAGCTTTCTACATAATTGAAGATTTTTTTTCCTCTCTTCTCTGACATATCGCTGAGTCAGATTCTTTTGGAGGGAGCAATATCTTTTAGCAGAGAGCTCCTTCCACCCCATGTGTACGTGTGTGTGTATTGGGTGTGTCTGCGTGTCGAAAACAATAAGCAGGCGCGCGCGTGTGTGTGTTTTTGCGAGCATGTGTGCATGTGTGCATGCACGTGCCACTGTACGTGGGAGTGTGCGCCTCCATTATCTATGCCAGCAGCTCCCCTGGGTCCAGTTTTAAGTGTCGGTGTCTCATCCCGTGCATGATGATAACTTGCATCATCACCTGCAGCAGTAGACACATTATGTAAGGCAACACTCCGCTGCAGAGGGACTTCTCCTGCACTGCAAGGCCTCCTCTGCTGCGCATGTACAGCAGGCCTGCTTGTGCACACACGGGCCTCTTCACGCAGCTCCGTGCCGTCGCACACATCAAGGCGCAGGGCTTGGGGCAGGGTAGGCAGGTCGCATACGTTCGCACAAACATACGCACACGCACAAGTCGGTCCCATTCCCATTGACCCCGACACCCCTGTCACACCCTGGAAAGGTCAGCGCATTTAAACTGTGACAAGGCCTGACCTTTGAAAGCATAGAGTGCGCAGGAGCTGGATAGAATCTTAATGGACTCGACCGTGTGTTTTGAGGTTATGTGTGTTTCATGGTACGCCTACGTGGGCGCCCAGGTAATGTATAGGCACTTTATTATTATCACGCCCGGTCCCAAGGCTTGAGTGGGGGACGAAAAGGTTAGGCGAAAAAGCAAAAACAAAAGAGAAGAGATATAATTATAAGAGAGGGCGAACAAGAGATGGAGCACCCTAGATTTGAGGAAGAGGGTTGCATTCGTTGCCTTTGGTTCCCGGTGGGCCGGCAGCGATAAGAGTCTCATTAGGTAGTTAATGACAGGAATAAAGGACATGACATTAACGCTGGGTTAATGTCAGAAGCCGTCGCCAGCTGTGGCCGGCCCTTTCATGTCTGCAATTTCTCCAGCTAGGGCGCCGTAGCGCTCATTTCCACAGGAAGTTCCTTTAAGCGGATCAATTGTGTATCACGCGGCGTTTGTGTCCCGTGGTGCGTTTAATGATAATGGTTGTCATGAACAAAGACCAGTAGGAAGCTCTAGTATTGCCACTAACAGTCGACCAGCAGAGGAAAGCGTGGTGATGAATCTGTGTGGCTTTTTATTTTTAATTTTAACTTTGTGTTTGCTCTCCCTTCTTCTGAGCGCGCGTGAGTTATAGAGGGAGCGAGACACTCTGTAACACACACGATAGTTCACACACGCACACCAGAAAAACAGAGCGGGAAACGGCCGTGTGTGTGTGTGTGTGTGTGTGTGTGTGTGTGTGTGTGTGTGTGTGTGTGTGTGCGCGCTCCGTATCCTCCCTGACAGCCAGTGAGTAGTCCCAGAGTGTGGTCATGCTGTCCAAGGTCGAGGGGAGTTTGTTGGACACGTCCATCCATCAGCCTTAACCCCACTTCTGTATGGATGTGAATGTGTCTGTGTATTAGCATGTGGACATGTGTGTGTGTCTGCATATCTGAGTCAGACACTGACGCCTGAGCACCCAGACACAACATGACGGGGGGCCCCCCCTTAGGTGCTCTTGGGCTGTCTGTTCCTGCCTCCCTCTGTCTCTGGCACTCTGGGTGGGATGGAGACAGAAGACGAGAGATGGAGTTAGTTTCGGACGATGACATCACACTCTCAACTGTGACATGCTCTTTAATTCAGCCTTAATATACAGCACAGTAAGACGTACTGTTTATGTGCTGAATTATGGGTAAAAATGTCTTCATCTAACACTCAACAACTATTAGCTTCTTCTAACTTACTTTGCTATCTAAATACAGGCAGAATGGAGTTATTAAAGGTGCATAAAGACACTGTACCTCATTACTTCCTGGTCCCTTCTGCCTTTGTTGCTTATCACTTCCTCTCACTTCTGTTTTTCCCGGCCCTCCCTCACATATGCTCCCGTGGAAGGAGAAACTCCACATAAATAATCCCTCAAACAAACATCGGGTGATTAATGTGCCCTCTTTACAGCAATCTAATATCTGGGGATTGTTTCGCACACACCCACCTCTGACCTGAGCTGTGTTACGTCTGTTTCCGCAGAAACCACCACGCCGGCCGAAACCGCCACGCCAACTCTGCCCGCTGACATTGACACCACCACCGTCCCCCTGGCGACTACAGGTGAGTCCAGGCGACGAAGTGTGTGACACGTGGTTTAATAGTCGTATTAGAAAACCAGTAACAAGAAGAGATGAAAGCCATTATGTAAAGCAGCTGTGAATGCTCCTTTATCTGAAATGATGTCTCATGCCTTTTGTTTGCCCTTTGGCTCTTCCTCCGCAGTAGCCACTTCTTCTTCATCCGACAGCGTGTGTGACTTCGACCACGGCCTGTGTGGGTGGACGCACGACCCCAACGCCCCTCTGCTCTGGTCCCTGCACAGCCACGGTGAGTCTCCTCGTCGTTCATGGGAAGACTCTGCTTGACTCACCGCCGCTGTCTGGTTAGCAGAACGACTCAGAGCCGCTTCGAGGTTTCTCTCAATGTAGCGAGCGCTTGATGGACGGTGACCTGCAGGGGCCGTCTGGATGGTTTTACAAACAATGCTGTGAGCAGCTCGTGTTGACTACCGACATCTTACATTTTATTTTGGTGTCAGCTGCTTTGCTGCAGAGCTTTTATGTATGCAGCTGCAAGGAGGATTCCATTTGGGCACAGAAAATTGCACAAGCACAAATGCATTAAGTTCATTTTATCAACTTCACTGAGTCTAGACAAGACACTAATCAAATGGAGTCATTCTCCTTGTGCATCTCCATTGAGTTCTTTTTTTTCAATTTGATTAAAATAATTCCTTAAATTGACAGCAGTCTAATTTAGCAGCGCCGTCGTCTGCCGGACTCGCTGCTCTTTCCGAGCGGATGAGAATGAAAATGAATCGAGGGAGCGAGAGGGACACACACGCAGCAGCCTCACGTGCGACCTGCACCAGCTCTCTGTGTCAAAAACACGCGACGTCTCGGCAAGAAGGGGTTAAGACCCGGTAGCTCCAATTAAGTTCAGAGCAGAAGATTCCAAAGGCGAGCAGTTATTCCTAGCCGTCCGTCACTGCCCCTCCATCACCGCAGGCACATCCCAGATGATGCTGTGTAGGCTTCCATCTACTTAGACACCTTGAATAAATAATTATTCATTTTCCCTTCATACGTACAGCTTTGGGCGTGTTATTAAAAACTATAGAAGATGTATGCTGCTGGGTTTAGGGGGTTTTCTAGCTCTATATATAATTGTTCACAGGCTGGGTTAGGGATTCTTATCCCCACCTGGTTTTAAAATTCATTGGTTTCGAGCAAGTCTCCATGAAAGATTCAGCATTCCTCCAGCTGGAGAGAATTAAACAAGAGGCTCAGCATGCCCCCCCCCCCCCCCTTGTTTTGTCAAATTTGTGATGTCACCGGGGTCGTGTTCAGCAGGGCAACGGAATCCCACAGCAAAGGCAAAAAATGTTCCTGAAGCGTGACGAGTTTAGGTCACAGCCATCTTTGACAGGGAGCTTCAAAGTGGCTTCTTTCATCGCGGCCGGATTGGAAAAGGGTTGCTTAGATTAGCCAGGTTGTGGCTTTCATGTATGGAGTATCAATTCCAGCCGTTTTGACGCGCCATGCCAGCCTTTGATTCTCCCTGCCGATGTCAAAGGTCAGGAATCCCAGCCAACACAGGATCATTATTTCACTGCTATCAAATCACTGTTTAATCCTCAATAGGGTTCCTTTTTGTCATGTGACCCAGAAACCGTGATCTCCTCACCTCTTGACCTCCATCATGAAACCAATTATTTGGGCACAGAGGTGGAATTAGCCTCCATGTACTCTGATATTTGGCCTAATATACCCCCGCTAGTAAAAACATGCTAAATAGGCTTCATAGATTGAATGTTTGCTTCTCGCTGCAGGAGACCGCTGTGAAATGGATTAATAATGCTCTGTTGTGCTGCGTACTCGATTATGAGCTGTCTGGCGAACAACTTGCACGACGACGGGGGGGTTCGCTGCGAGTCGCCGCGCTTCAACGCCAGAGACGACGGAAGAAACACCTCGCAGAGTCACAAATTTGTGTCACTTGCACAGCCTCTATAGGCCTATCCACACATGCAGTTCATACACCAGAAAACAGTGTCATGTGGAGCAAAGGGGGAAACACACACACACACACACTCATTCCAGGGCTGCGAAGGGCCATGGGACACACTGTCACACACTGTCTGAAGTGTCACACACAGGCGAGTCTGGGCGTATGGCAGGCAGAAGGGAGCTGTCAAGTCGGAGGAAGATTTGTCCCTCCAGATACCGCTTGTCGGATCTGCTGCAAAGACACGCACGCGCACGCACACAGCCAAAGGTTATCGACCCAGTCACTCAATAACTCGAGCACGGCTGGATGCTACTGTACGTTGGATAAAAAGCACATGCTGTGTTGAAGATAAACCTCGTGGTGTTCCTGGGAAAAGCAGACACACTAAAATAAAAAACTACCCGTATGCGCCCTGATTTACTTCGCACTGCTTTTTCCTCGCTTGACAGAAAGGCACGTAGTTGCTCCGACACACACACACACACACACACACACGTAGTTGTACATGATAAAGCAGGTGATTTAATCTGCAGACATTTTCCCACCGGACCCACTTAAGAAATTCTTCACCAGACGCCTCCTTGAGTCACTCTCTCACACACACTCAAAACATACTGTAGGCCCACCAATCTCTCACAATGGAATTTGTGTCGGCATCCAATTTGCAAGCTAAACATCCTCTGGTGTAAACAAATGGAGCGGCGTGTTGGACTCTCCCGTTGTTTAAGTCATTTACCTGGAAGGGAATGAAGAGAAATAGCCCCCGAGAGTCTTGGCTGGAGTTCTGGTAGCATGACGCTCTCACTGGACCTATTCTTCTGTGTGTTTATATTTGTCATTTCCCTATTGTTTGGCGTGACTATTGTGTGCTCCTGATCCCGGTCCTGTTAGCAACTAGTGATTCATTTCTGTTTTTGTTTGAGATATCTGTAATTGTGTGAAAGCATACTGTACATGTGTGCATAAGGGCGTGTATATGTGTGTCTACGTCAGCCTGTATGTGATGATTAATGATTATAACCATGTATGGGCTCATTCCGGCAGCATCCATTTACAAAAGTCTATGCATCCTTTCAAATTTCCTTGTTTTTATTGCCTCGAGGGCTGAAATGAAAACCCATTCAATCTTTTCTTCTCTTTTCTTTTGGCTGTAGCAACCAGCAAACTCAAGGTTAAAACAAACCTTTGCTCATTTATTGCACAGTGTTGAAACTACTAAAGCAGCTTGGTTGCATATTGTTTTTTCACTTCATCTAATGTATTCCTGACTTCATACAATTCTGTTTTTAGTTTATCGGATTTTCAAAACACTGAAATCACCAAAGTTAGTCAGTACAATCAAAAGTAGAGCTGCTGTAAGAGTGTGTGGTGACTTGTGACGTTGACATTACAGTTCAAACACATGTGTTAAAGAGTATCTTCATCTTACCATCGGCCCCGCAGAGCTCAACAGCTATCTGTACATGGACGCCAGCTTGAAGACGGAGCAGCAGCGAGCCCGGTTCGTGAGCCCCGTGGTGGCGGCCGACACCGGGCCCCTCTGCCTCCTCTTCTCCTACCAGCTGTGGGGGGAGGCCCAGGGCCACCTGAGGGTCCTGCTGCGGGACGCCCACAGCGAGGAGACCGTCCTGTGGACGCTGAAAGACGATCAGGGCCCCGTCTGGAGGGAGGGTCGTACCATCCTGCCTCGCTCGCCTAAAGACTTCCAGGTAGCTATAAATCCATCATTTTTTTAAGCTAAATAAAGAACTTTATTATCATGACAAAGTGCAAACACTGAAAGAGCATGGTCACTAGAAAAGTCCTAATAGCAATGCTATGAAAGCATCAGACTTCTGGCCAATATCAGCTGTAATAAAGTATGTCTGCTTGATAATAAGTATCTGGGTCAGACCCTTTGTTATATGTCTTCTCAGAAAGAGAAACACGTCTTTTTTTCAGGGTCGGTTAGAGGGAGACACATTTATCTCAGAGCATATCAAGGCATCAGTTTCAATCTCTGTCACCTTAGGCCAGGTTTGACTTCAAAAGGAGCAAAAGTAAGCCATATTGTCTCTACTGGCTGTATGATTGTTCGGGGATCGTTGTGCATTTGTCAGAGACATCACAAGGAGTTAATGTTCTCATAAAAAAGTAAGTTGAAGAAGCTTGTAGAGAACGGGGGGGGGGGGTGATGATGATGATGATTGCAAGTGTTGAGTGCAACTTTGAAATCACAGGCACCGTATTAACTTTTCATCCCGTTCTCCTCCTCTTCCTCTTCCTCCTCCCTATGTGTCCCCGTTCTCAATTTGCCTCCACCTCCCCCCCTCCCCCCTGTTGCCTTCATCCGTCTTCCTCTTCCTCCTTCTCTTTTTCAACTGTTACCTCCTCCTCTTCCTCTTCCTCCCCGGTTTTGCGGTAGGTTGTGATGGAGGGTTTCTTTGTGCACGGCACCAGAGGACACATCTGGATAGACAACATCCACATGAGCTCCAACACCCCTCTGAAAGAGTGTACACGTAAGTACACGCACACACTCACACACACACGTTGGGATCAATTCTCTGACAGACAGACTGGGACAAACTTTATTTTTTTTTCTGCTTCAGTATGCCAAATCTTTTCCATGCAGAAAAATATAGAGAAAATAAACAAATCCACATTTGACCCACCCACTCCCTCTCATCCTCAACTCCGCCATCGCCTCGTCACCTCGACGCCGTCAATCTGCCGTTTCCCTTCCACCTCCTCCACTTTTAGCCTGAAGGTCCTTGAACAGTGGCACACATGAAGTGATAAACACCCGCAATCCTCCCTCCACTCCCATCCCAGTTTCAGAGACATCCTCTCCTCCAAAGAGCCCACTGAATACAGAGATGAAAGGAGGAAGGAGAGGGAGGGACAGCATTTATTCCTCCACAAAAAAAAAGGAAGAAGATAAGAAGAATAGTAAAAGTAGGCCATAAACGCCCCGTGGGCCCCGACGATGCTAATCTATGTTTTATTAGATTTCTCTTCTTCTCTTTCTCTCCTCTCCCTCCATCTCTCGTGCGCTCACTCCTCGGTCGTATTTGTAAACAGAGCTTTTTCCCGAGTCGTCAAAGGGAATTACTAGACAGGCTGTTTCCCGAGCAACTTTCTGGGTGCCTGGTGCAAGCCGAGCGCCAGCGCAGCCTCCCTAATCTGGCCCGAGCAGGGGCTTTGGAGAGGGTCTTAAACAGATCAGAGACCGAGCCGGGGTTTCAGAGCCAAAAAACCTGCCGTCATCACTTCTGACTGACGGCCAGTGTGCTTTGGAGCTGGACCCCAATGGGGAGCAGAGTGTCGTTAAGAGTTCCAAACTAGTGGCAAACACTGCAGTGTGTTTTTAGTGTTGTATCCGTCGTTTTTGTGCATAAGTGTGTTTCCTGAGTCTTGAGAGAGTCTAAGCAGCACAGCAGCTCGGAAGGCAAAGATGACAGCCCAGATCCCCCCCTCCCTCCTGCCTCTATGCTGCTGTGTTTCCTCCTTCCTCCCTTCCCTCCCCTCCTTCGCCACTCCCAAAGCATTCTAGGATGTTGCTTATCACCCAACGCAGTTGAGTTTTTCACAGTACGTTGGGGTTCGCGCCAAAAGGCGCCAGTTCCCAAGTCAGTTTCCCCCTCTTTTTTTTTCTCTCCCACCCGCCACACACACATAACACACTAAGACACACACACCAGTTATTTGCGTTTGCATTCCAGGCAATCAAAGTGAAGGTTCTGCTCTGTGCATTTGCAGCAGGCCCAAAAAAAAAATAAAACCTTCCCGTTCCAGTTTAACTGGACGCGGCAGATAAACAACTTGAAATGCGTGAACGCAGACACACACACACACACACACACACACACACACACGTAATTCTCAGCACAGACCATCTCAGATTCCCCACTCACACAGTGTTTGAAATTGCATTCTGGCGAAGGAGCCAAGTAAATGCCATAACTCATGCGAGTTATCTGAGGAATTAACTTAAATTTCCCCAGGAGGACTTTGATAGTCTTGTGACATTTGTGTGACATTTAGCTGACTTTTCCCTCATATTTAAAATGATCTTACAGTTGTCTCTCTCTCTTTCTGTTCCTGTCTCTCACTCTCTCTCTGTCCTCGCAGAACCCTTTGCAGCTTTTTCTCCAGAAAACCCAGGTGAGTTTGACTTTGTTATGATGTCACTTCCTCTCTGGTCTTGCTTCCTGCCCGTTGGTATGCACTAGCCTTGGGTTTTTTTTGCTTGGGGGCACTGAGTTGTCTCAACGGCTAAACAGACAGCCCATACCAGTCCTTCACTGACAACACAGAAGCTGAGTCTGCTGTGTGATTCCAGATGAATAAATCTGCATTCAATTATTAAAGCTAGTGCCTCGTGGCGTCAGCAGCAGCATGAAGACATCACCAAACAAACTAAACCCCTCGCTAAAATCTTAATTATCAAATTTGCAAATACCAAATTAATTTTCTTGAAGTTGGAAAATAGATTATTTCACTAATGTGCTGTTGTGCGCCGGTTTTACCTTGTCAGTCTCAGTGGAAACAAAGGAACTCTGTGTGCAAGGCAAGCTAAATCAAGCACACCTCATGGAGTCGGATATTTGAAAAGAGCCACATATTCTCAGTTCTGTGCTGCCTGACGCAGCCTGAAGGGTTTTAAATAACTGTCTGCCTCATGAAAAATATTTAGAGCATCCTGGGGGACTCTATGAGATTGATGTTGGTGTTTTGGCATCTCATAATGTCTTCCAATAAGATAAGAGCTTGGCGGTTTCAGTGCGAATGTGATGTGTGTGCACTTCTTGGGCTTTTCTACTCCTCTGCCTTCACACACACACAGAGTCTCTAACCCTTGACAAACATGCACCAACACACACATTAATATCACCTCACACATACACATCAGTGTCCCCAGCGAAATGCAATCAGATAGAGTGACTGAGCAGCGGCAAGCACGGGTGTCTCTCTCTCCTCTCCCTAACTCAGCTCTGTCTAATGAGTGTGTGCAGTGTGAAGTAGCAGCAGCACGCACCATTTCCCTCTGTAATTATGTGACACGGTCCAAAAATCAGGATGTATTCAGCTCTGCTTCACTTTCCCTAGTTCCATTTGACATTCTCCCCGTCTTACAACTCACCCCACAAGTTTGGATGGTGCATTTGTGCTTTATTTTTTTTTTTTTTTTACAATGTCTTCAGGGCTTCGTTTTAGCAGTCTTGGATAGTCGAATAGAGGCTTCTTGGAAGGTGGTTAGTTGGTTGTTACCAAGAATTTGAGGAGGGGTTCAAGCCAGGGGCAGCAGTGTAGAGGATCTGTGGAGATAGTCTCCAAGGGGACGGAGCTTGGCTTGAGGAGGAGAGGACCGGCCAGGAGGCTGATGCATGAGGAAAAAACAAGAACAGAGAACAGGATAAATTATGTGCTCAAAACAAATCTGCCGTCTCGAGCCAGCTAAATAACAAATCCCCATCCAATATCAGCTGTGAGAGCTCTGGAACATTGGATTTCTATGTGGTGTCCGTCCGACTGATCCGTGCATGGTTCTGAGACTTTATCAGGGGGCTGTTTGGGACTTCCTGTGCCAGTGCGAAACAGGAAGAGAAAGCTCCTTAATTCAATGTGTGTGGGTGCCTCCATAACTAATCATTTTGGCTTTTGTTTCACACCAAGTCATTCCATCGGAGCTTTGGAAAAAAATCAATTGCATTGAATTTGACTGGATCCACCATTGGACTGATTTCAAACCAAATCTCTTGATGATCTTGGTGTGAAAACTTGTCCTCCAACTGCAGCCCAAGCTACATGAGAGAAATGGATGCATTTTAAGTTTTCCTTTTTTTTTTTGGCCTGGGAGATTTATGTAATTGTTTTTGCAACTGGCATGCTTGTGCATGCTCATATGAGGTGCACGCCTGCTGTTCGTATGATGAAAATCAATAGGGATAGAAAAAAGACAGTTAAATGTAGAAAATAAACAAGTGCCACTCCTTTCTTTTCCCGCTGGCCAATTATTCTGTATCTCTCCACCAGGGGGAGGCGTTCCTGTGCCTCCCTTGCCCATCCACTGGTATTACATTATGGCCGCCGGAGGCGCCCTCCTTCTCCTGGCTGTGGCCATCTTGGTCAGGGCCCTCTGTTGCTGCCGACAACACCTGGCCACCAAGAAGAGCCAGCTGTCAGTGGCCTATCACAGCTCCTCACAGTGCTTCCAGTATTCTAACTGGTCCTCCAGTATGGCCGCCCCAGGGGTGGAGCCAGTCCTGACAGTGAGGTTGGACAGCCGGGACCGACACCGTACCCTCTGCTGAAAAGAAGCACTTAGCCGCGTTGTGTTTGGCAGAGCGGGACGCCAACTCATGACGTCAGTGGCAGCGTGCGCCGCAATGCCACAACACTGACGGAACATCCACCCGACGAACCCCTCCTTCATTTAGTTTACAGTTGCAAGGGTGATGATGACACTGTCCCTAAACTGCCACGTGGACATTTGCAAAGAAACACTGTGCTCTCTCTCTCTGTCTCTAATGGATGTAGCTTCGGTTGCTGTTTCCTTCTTTCTTCCATTAAGGAGTTTGCTGTTGGCATTTTACACTGTGCTACTCCTGATGAGAGGACTGAAGTCTGAGTAAGTTATTTATCTGAACAGCTTGTCTCGGACCATTGAGTGCCGTCTGGCTCCTCATAACCCCAGCGGTCCTCCTGGAATGACCCCAGCACGGACAAACACACAGACATGTGTGGGCTAGGAAGAGATCGGGGGTCGAGCTGGTTCCGCTGCGAGGGCCAGCCAGAGCTGCCAAACCACAGGCTAAAAAAGACCCCAGAGACATGAGGAGCTCTGCAGTGCTGAGAGAGAGAGAGAGAGAGAGAGAGAGAGAGAGAGAGAGAGAGAGAGGGGGAGAGGGGGGAGAAAACTGTTAGGCTGATAGGCATTCAACGTGCTAGCTGTGGAAATGATCTGGCAAGCCCCAGAAAATAAAGCTCTTGGTATCTCTGTAATAAAACCATGAGATAGCTGTGATATGAGTTGTACCAATAGTGAGGGGGTTGCATTGGAGGAGGAAAATAAATCCGTCCATTGTGCTTTTCAACAGAGCATGTGCACATTTAAAAACAAAAGGAATGCAAATCCATCATACTTTAAGTCCTGCATCACAAATGGTGATAACCAGCTCCTTTGATTGAATGTCTTGTCTTCTCCTGATAAAGGCATCAGTCAGTGATGGATGCAGCCGTCTTTAGTGTTTAGTGTTTCATCTCGATCCTCTGGCGTAATAAAGCACGTTGTTCCCACTCCCATTCGCACTTCGTACCTCCCACTCTCGTTGTTCCCCATGTCTTTGAGCTGCCCAGATGAAACTCGTGCTGCGCCGTGCCTTGTTGTGATTTCATTGGGAATATGTGCTCGTTGTTTTTAGGGTTGTAAATACACACAGCTGTCTGTCATCACCGTCGCTGTCTTGATTTATACTCCTACAAATCCCACAATGCCGCTTTACCAGCTGGAAGGCATACGTTGAGGGTTTTGCTGTATATGTTCACCCTTGAGAGCGATCCAAGACATTATGAAAACCAGAGCAGAGCTCCAGCTATTGATGGCGCTTCCTCTAGCGCCATAAGACGCCATGACTGGATATTAACATAAAACAAGATGTAGCTAATGCACTTCTTACTTCATGTTTAACATACATGGGATCCAAAAGCCTATTTCGTTGTGAAATTTCTCAAAACTCCGACTGAGCTAAGACAAATTGGCACCAGTCTCTCTCTCATCAGTCGGTGCAGGGGTGGTGAGATTGGACACAAGCTCGGTTCAACACCCTAGATTGAATGAAATTGAGGTCTTCACTCTGTGGCTTAACGGGCCGTGCTTTTTTTCGTGATCTGTCACACCAGCAAAAAATCCATCACCCGCTAGCCCACAGCTCAGCAGAATGCGCCTCGATTTGTTGCCACAATTTAGAGGCTGCATTTCAGAGTGAAGAAGAAGTGTTTTTTGGCACGCTCTCACGCTGTGCTTTTAAATCAACCCGGGGGAGAGAGGAGGGATTGGACACCCTACTTGAGCCATCTCGACACCGTTACGCTCCAAGTCTCTAATAGTTCTAATTAGTTAATGGACAGATAACATTTATTAAGGCTGCGGTAAGCACTTCCCCCCCCCCTCCCCCTCCCATCTACTGCACCTCCGCCCGCCCAATCAGCTGCCAACTTCACTTGCCCCCGGAAACAGTATTAATAACGCCATTGGCCGTCAAAGACCTCCAGAGCTAGACGTGTGCCTTGCCAAGCAGTTACTCCCACTCCTGCATGCTTGCCAAGAGAAGCCAGCGCAAGCACGCACTCGCACGCGTAGACACCAATGCACACGCACGCAAAGTGGAAAGAAAACTCATCTAAAGTATAAGTACACTTGAGCTATTTGGCTCAACTAAAGTGCTGCAGTCATTGCCGGTTTTACCACACTTATAATCCTCCAACTCAGACCCTCACACACATATCAATGTTCAGTTCACACCACACGGCTGTGATTCGCACAGAACGGAAAGACAAGCACTACTTAAATGTTGTTACCGTTAGCTGTTGTTGTTTTTTTTTCTTTCATCGTCTTATACACCACTCTTAAACTTGACAGCGACAGTGTCGATGATTTTAATGGTGATAATGATGGGTAATGTTAAGTATTTGATGATGTTTGCATCTCTATTCACACGGTCTTATACCACCAGTATGCTATGTGATGACTGTGTGTTTGACAGGAATGTATCATAATGATCTTTCTCTATTAATAAAGTCATATTTTTCTATTATTCCAAGACTCGTGTGTGTGTACGAATGCAGAACGTAAATGTGAATTCACAATACGCAAAATGTTTAGTTATCAGTAAATGTGTGTGTGGTCCTGTTGTTGCTGATTGTTAGGATTACAAAATGTATTAAATCTGAGCCAGAAACAAACAAATGCTGTGCTAAAGTCACAATTGTTCTGTGTGGAATTTGCTTCATGCTTAAAGGTTATGTTTTCTGTTCTTCTCTCTCTCACAGTTAAGAGACCAAATGAATTTGGAGATGGACGTCTTTTCAGCGGCAGAGACTCACTAGGCGGAGGTGAGGCCCAAGGAGGTGACCACGACACCCTTTGATCCATAGAGGCTCAATTTGAGTCACTGTCGTGAAATTAACTTTTCTGCTTTTCCTCCTCTCACAGTTTTACAGTTCCCAGAGTGGAACACAGCGTCCCCATCATCTGAGCCTCCGGTGACCCGCGTGTCAGAGAAGGACAACTCCTGGCTGTACACCCTGGACCCCATCCTGGTCACCATCATTGTCATGAGCTCCCTGGGCGTCCTGCTCGGGGCGGTGTGCGCCGGCCTCCTCCTCTACTGCACCTGCTCCTACAGCGGCCTGTCGTCCCGCTCCTCCACCACCCTGGAGAACTACAACTTCGAACTGTACGACGGCCTCAAGCACAAGGTCAAGCTGAACCAACAGCGCTGCTGCACCGAGGCGTGAGGAGGTTTTCGAGAGAGGGAACACCAGAGGGGGAACAGAGCGAGAGACGCAGCCGTTTTGTGAAAACCTCTCACTATTTTCTTCATTTCCTCCAGTTCACTTTCAGTATACTTCCTCGAGTGTGCAGAACATGGACAATGAGAAAGCCACTTTTTTTTTTTTTTTTAGCTCGAATGAGAACTTGTTTCCTGCTCGGTAAAAACGTGGCACAGTCCGGTGTTTTTGTGGTGAAAGAACCAATGACAGAAAGACTGGGGTGACTCAGATGGATCGTTCCATTGCGGGGACGTTAGGCCTCAAAAAAAAAATATCTACACATATCAATTACAGATTCCTGCTCCACCGAAAGAGAACTGTTTATAAATGCATCGTAGACTTGAAGCTGGATACTGTAAGCTACACATACTGCGTCGGAACACATCGTGTTGGAAAGGTGGTAGGTTAGGAACGTGCTTAGAAAGCGTCTGTTTTGATCACACGTGAACAAAGTGGCCTAGAATTTAGCTCCTTTGTGTGGCCCGTTGGCTTTTTCTTTTCTTTCTTTTGTTCCGTCGTAGACTCTGCTACCTATCAGCCTCAGTTATCCTCTTAGTTCCTGACAGTCTGCGGTATTTTTAGTCACAGACATCCATCGAGTTTGTTTTGGTCACTCTCTTTCTGTTTAATGTTTCCCCGTCTGGCCTATCGCCAGTCTGTGATGGCAGATAAGTAGACAAAAAAAAAAGAGGCGAAGAACGTGTATGTGTGTTTAGAGGAGGGGAGGGTGGGGGGGATTTGAACACATTCTTTTAATGACAGAGAGAGTTATTGTTAGATTTTGTTGTTGCTGGTTCCTGTCAAGGAGAAGCTCATGTTTACATTGTGATTAATAGTAAAAGGTCAAGGAACTTTGGTCGGTGCAACCTATGGATTGCTGTTAAGGGCAGAGACTGAAAACCACTGAAGAAACAAAGAGAGAGTGAGAGAGACTATGACTGACAGAGCACTATAATCCCCCTGCCTCTCTCTCACAGGGGCGACGTTCTCCCCGTGCTTTTCGCGGAGGACGGGGGGAAAAAAACTGGATGAAAAACAAACGTCTCTTCTCGATCCACTGACTGTGCGCGCGGACGCACAACAAGCCTTAAAAGCAAACTGTTAGCGGAAATGTTGAAAAAAGGAACGTTGAGGCGACACCAAGACAAGAGTGGAGGTATCCATCTCTCTCTCTTTTTACATGTGGACCTCAAAAAGCCATGATTTAAAGGACCTAGTCTCCCCCCCCCCCAACACATACACACAGATCCCCCCTCCTCCTCCTCCTCCTCAAACTACTGGCTGATTGTGGCCAGTTTTTTTAATGTCGTCTCCCGCACAGCATGGCAGGCATTCTTCTGGATCGTTTTGAACCAATCAGAAAGGGGTTTGTTTTTGCACGCTCTGAATGGACTCATAAGCCATGAGAAGGAGAGGGTGAGAGAAGAAGAAGTCTCCCTCCCACGCACACACACACAAACACACATTACTTCAGATGTATATACAGAACATGAATACACAACCTCTCTTGCTCAGACCTAAAAATGAAGGGAACACTGGTTGCTATATTTGAGACCATGCAGAACGTAAATGCCATTTCATCCCATCTACCCTCACCATGTAAACACACACACACACACATGCCATCCCTCTCCTCTGAGGCCCGCTTCTCCGGACCCCACTGACTCTCTTCAAAGTGCCTTGGAGCCTCGGGGATCCAGCTTGCCTTTGGAGCCGGTTTCAGATACAGTAACTTGACACTTGACAGTGACAGTCACAGCGCCCCCTTCTGCCTGGGAGGACCAAACATAAAAAGGACAGGACCCCAACCCTCACACCGACCCCCCCCCCCCCCCCCACCCTTTCGCACTGCTCGGACTGCTGTTGTTGTTCTTTTAAAGGGGTCTTTGTACAGAAATGCTCTTTTTATGATTGTTATTATAATTATTGTTATGATTATTTAATAAAGGATTTATACCATACGGAGGAAAAAGCTGGCCAGGATTGTTTTACTGTGAAGTCTGATTGTCGCAGCATTTTCAGATCATACTTGGCATTCCTGCAATACTAACTTTTAATTGCAAAAATAATACACAGACACACACAAACGCTCGATCTCTTTCTCCATCACATACACAGTCATAATGCCATGTTGTCAGCTTGCAACACTCGGCCTCTAATCTCCACATGATGTCCCATTAGTCTGGACCTCTGGTGGCCCTCATTTAGGAGCTCCAACATCAAAGCTTTGAAGTGCCCGGCGTCTCAGCCACACACACACTCGTACAGTAGGCTACACATGCAATTACTCTGCTTCTCTTTTATACAGCTTGCTGAGTCTCCCACACACGGTTCCATTTATCCACATAAGCTTCCCTCACCTAAATGCAAATGCTGTTAGCAAACACAACACAGTTTCAGATGCAGAACGTGATACCTTTGACTCCTTGGGGTCTCCTGGACGCCTATAGAAAGGCAGCAGAAGTGGTCCGCATTTCTCGCTGGGGTTTGCTCCAGTCGTGACTTGGAAGATTTAATGAGAGAGCCGAAGTTAATGTTGGGTTTCTTCGCTTGCATGCGCTTCTGAAATGTGTTTTTCCTTTCTGAAATAGACATAACTTTTTAATCACAGCAACGGTTAACACAACTTTGGGTCCATGTGAAATGGAGCCTGTAGCTCAGGTACCACATTATGAGCCGTACAAAAGCAAAACGACACGTGTCGTCGCTGCACACCGGCGATGGTGGCGGCTGTTAGCATGCTCCGGTCCGTGACATAGCGGGCCAATTACCGCCTCTGAAAAAACACAGACTATCCCCAGTACACTGGAGGAGCGCGATGCCATCTGCTCGCAGGTTTGATTGATCCCGGCAGAACAGTCTCGACCACATCACACGAAGGAACGCCGACAGGAAATTACCAAAGGAGCCAGATTGTCATTGTTCCATACCACCTCTTGTTTTCACAACCAAATTATTCTTAATTTCTTTCTCTCCCTGTGAGTGTGTGTGTTACGCAAATGTTGTTCTTCCAGGTTTTTATCACTCTGCAGGGGCCCTTTTCCTTCAGCCGTCAGATCAGAGAGTTCTTTTGCCTCTGAAGCCGAGGCGGCCTTCAAAGAAAAAGCTCTGGCACCCTGTAAGTCGATAGGGCAGATTGAGGAGGGAGCCCATTTGAGGGTCGCGCCACAGGAAGTGTCTGCAACACACAGCTAATTAATCTGGGGGTTAGGTAATCAAGATGGAAGGGAGTGCAAACAGGCAGTTAGTCATCACAGTTAGGGAGGAAACTTTGTTTGGTTTTCTAACTTAATCCCTTAGTATTTCCTTTATGTCACTGCATAGAGGCTTCTCACACGAAGTGAAGCTTGGGTGTGTTGAGGTACATTCGCTTTAACTGTTATAAAAAGAAAAAGAAATCTAAAATATCTTGCGATCATGAAGAATATTTATAAAGCATAAATTCTCAGGAGAAATTCAGAAATCAAAAAATCCCCCATATCCTCCTGCCTGCACCTTCAGTGACAGTCTGAGGAAGAGAACCACCTGGAGACGAAACCTTACATCTCTTTCAACAGCATCCAAAACCCCGGCGCAAAACTGCAGCAGCGTTGCATATACACATGCAGAGACTCACATGTTTCATGCACACACGCGCACCCACATCCCAATGGTCTTCCTGGGAAGGGGGCCCAGATAATCTTGTCTGGCCTGCCAGCGGTTCAAAGCACCTATATAGGTCAGAGTGGTGTGTGTGCGTGTGTGTGTGTGCGTGTGTGTGTGGGCGTGTGTGTGTATGTGCATGAGTGTATGTGTGTGGAGGATGGAAAGGGGCTTTGTGGCAACTCGCCCGCCAATGACGACAGACCCAAAGACAACAAAGGCCAAAGTATTGTGTAAACACCAGACGGACCATCACTCTCCTTCCTCCGTGACATTATCATCTCCCCACCACCAGAGGATCCTGCCCCCAAAAACAAATACATGGAGGAAATGATCGGGACGAGAGACGCTCCTGTTCGGAGCCCCAAACTAGGCCAGCCTTCTTGTCACTGTGAAGCAGCACAGAGGACATTCACTTGATAAAAAGATACTGAGGGTGATTTGAGGCCATTTTGGGACCACGGCAACACTGTTGGTGCATTTCTTTGGTTGGAATGCTAGACTGAAGCTAACGCCTCGTGCTGGGATTGCTCAGCAGCAGGGTTGATTTCCCAAAAGCATCCAGATTTGATGCCATCGTATGGTATCCGGAGCATTTTCCTCGTGGCTGAACCTTTGTTGTGGACGCGCAACGTGACCAGTGCGACCTATGCGGTGGGCCACCTGTTCGCTCCACTTGAGGCCGGTGTGTTTACAGTCACGCTTTCCCTATTTAGCCCGAGAAATTTGTTATCGAGCATCGCGGGAGGCCTCTCGCAGTGGGTCCTAACCATCTGTCCGGGGTGTTGTGTGGTTGAGTTTGATTGAAGGTGTTACCGTGTTTGACGTCTGAGACG